GATGATTGGGAACTATAATGGAGACGATATAAAATCTGGAGGGAAGAAAAATGGGTGTCACTAAAGAGAGCTGAGAAATGTACAAAAAGTCATGAGTTCTGCCTGTCACATGAAAATTCTAAACGAAGAGCATAGATGCCGGTCAGATAGCAAAACAAATTCGTGTTAAAATCACAATTACTTGAAATTATTAACAGTGGGGTATGTTTGGCCTCATGTTTCAAGTGAAAAGAGGTGTCTCTATTTTCCCTGCAAGGTAACAAAATTGTATTCCATCTGGAACAGGCAGCCCGGGAGTAGACATAACGGAACCAAATTTTGTCCAGATTATGTTGACATGATTGCCTACAGATTTAAACCTCGTTCGGACGAGAACCCGAGTTCTAACCGAGGTTTCTGGGGAGGTTTTTACAAACTTTATAAAACTTGTTAAAATTTAGAGGTTTTTCCTTTGGTTCTACATAATCCTGGCGAGTCTCTGATTGCCTTCGTGCGTTTCCTGTGAGCTGCCAAGGCCTCCTAGATCACGAAAAAAAATTCACAGTGGTCTTCCAAACAACCGCTAGAGAGCAACACGACAAAAACCGAAAAAAGTGCGCTTTGTCTCGATTTACCTTCATGTCTCATATTACCCCGTGCTACGGTACCTTTGAAAGAAGTCTGGCGTATTGGTCTTCGGTTGAAATTAGCTCGAGACATGCCAAGCTTCGAATCCCCATCTGCAGTTGGCAGCATTTTTGAACTACACCGCCACACTGCCACACTGGGGGCGGAAAGTTCGAGTATGTTCTCTTTGGACAATCACGGAAGTTACATTTAAGGTATTCCAAACGCTACGTAGACCAATCCAACGAACGTGAACTTTTCGAAATGTGTGCGTTTAGTGGGCAATGGCCCTCCCTAACATCAGAAACAAACCCTATGTCGATATCTGCGCTCGTTTGGGCACAGGAGTCAAAAGAAACGAAAGTACCCCGAAACGTGAGAATCGCTCATATGGAGCCGCCATGAGAACGTCTTGAACGGTAACCGGGTTTCTTGGTCGGCCAATATTTTGATGAAGTTTGATCACCCTCCTCATGCTGTTCCTCTCTGGCAGCTTGGCGAGTACCTCCGCATCGTCGCCAACTGCGTCGCGCAGCACCTGCTGCGGTGGTTCATTCGGGTGCTCTTCTGCCCGTCGCTTGACTCCTTGCATGACTTTCTTGGCGATGACAGCGCGATGGTCTGCTTCGTGCCCAATGTGAGCTTCCGTCCCGTCCTTGAAGAGCTCTGGTTCTTCCAGGTGGAGTCTGGTGTGGGTGCAGGCGTAGCAGCGGTCCCTCTCCGTGCATCGCCAGTATATCTTTTTCAGGCGCAGGTTCCGCGAATGTTCAGTGTATGTGAATCCGTTCAGGCAAAGGGTTGCCTTGCCCTTGTTTGAAGGGATGCTTTCCATGTTGGGCCCGGTTGGTACGGCCAGACTGCTGGGACAAATGCCTTAGCAAGTGCCTCTGTTACTATTGAACGGCCGCGGCCAATAATGGGGACCGGACTTAAATACAAACGCCAATGAAACAAAGGACATTTAGGGAAGGGACATTTTGTATGTCACATTTTAGTGTTGGACAAAAAAATAAAGGCCCATACTTCGCAGGACATTTTTTTAGCGGACATTTCTTCGTAGCACCTGGTTAAATGTCGATTTTGCGAATCTCAGCCCACTGTGTGGCGGTGCGCGTCCAGAGGGCAGTTTCGGCAAAAATGGTTAAAGATACGCCAAGACGCTTGATATTTTTGCCCTTTGGGCATGAATATGACGTGTTTCCTTGGGAGTCAACTTTCAAATTCCAAAAGGTACCCACCATAGCGAGACATCTCAGGAAGGCTGTCGCCAAATTTCGATGTTCTAGGTCAAACCGTTTGGCGTCCAGCGCTGCAACATTGCGAAATGGTCTCACCTAACACTCAAAAATGTATTTTCAACGAAGGCGCTGTACTACCCTGGCGAATTGACTTTGTGTTGTTTTATACTTTATCTGTTAAAATATGAACAATTTTTCTCTCTCCGTTTGGTTTTTATGACACTTTTACCAAAGCACTGTTTTTGGAGTGATGTTCCCCATTAAGAGGTTACCATCCTACACCATCTCAACACGTCGCGATGCTGGGGAACTAGCTTCACTTGGTAGGTGTAGGCGTTAGGATGGTTTCCAATCTGAATGGTATTCTCAGGTGGGATCGGGATCAACTCCTTTACTGGCAATTTAGACTAATTCCCCCCGTTCAACGGCAGGGAAACGTCAAGTCCCTGCCTCTTTTAAAAAGAAAGGGTGGGACAACAAATAGGGTCAGGGCGGGGAAGAACTGGACAGGGGAAGAACTGGACACCCCAAATTTTACTTCGAATACCGTAGGCACAGGAATAACAACTACCAAAAGTTGCTCCGTGGCATCAGCGGTTCATTACACGACAGTTGTCAGGCCAGTACATACGGCATTTGAAGTAAAATGTGGAGTGTCCAGTTCTTCCCCTGTCCATTTTTTCCCTGCCCTGACCCTAATGTACACATCGTTTCTCAACAACGCTGTGCCACACGGAAAAAAAGAATTTGTTGCGACAACTAAAATTAATGTTGATTTTAGAATATAAAAAAAAGAACGGTCACTTTGCTCTCACGACAAATAATTCGTCAGGAGTACAAACATTCATTATAAATATTATTATGTTTAGTACTCCTGACGATATAGTTCATTATCAGAACGACATGTTCGTTCTGTCAACAAATTGATAGTACGCCTAACAACTTCTTTTAGCTATCCCAGAATCAACATACATATTCGCTGTCACAACAAATTATTTTTTTACGTGCATTGTCACCAGGCCCTGTTTTAAGGTGGAAGGAGGGCATGATAGTCCCAAAATGACTAAAAGTACGCAACAAGCATCACACGCCCCTGTAGGTACGCAAAATTTGCACTGTGCCTAAAAGCAACTGAAAGTTTTGTTCATTTTTTGCCAGGATTCTCTGTATACTCTTACAGTATTTTCCGCAGGGCCGTGCAGTGTTCTTCGGGACCGCACAGTCTTCTCCGTACGACCTGGAAGACTGCATAGTCCTCCAGAGAACACTGTAAGGCCCAACGGAGAATCCCGTCAGTGCCTACGGAGAATATTGACAGGGGGGCTACGGAGAATAACCACAAGCTCTTAACAGAATTTTCTGCAGCTTTTCGCTACAGTGTACACAATATCGTCCCGTCGGGGATTCCTGTAACCGCACCTGATTGCCACAGGAAGTGGCGTGGTGGCAGCCTTGGGGCCCCAGAGCCCTGCAGAGGGTCAAGTGGGCGCTCGTCGAGCTGGGCGGCGTGTCCTGCTGCAACGTGGCTCTGTACACGGTGCTCTTCTTCGAGCTAGCTGTGCATAGGGTGTGCGCAGTGCTGCTGCGCGAAGTCGGGAGGCAGCTCCAGGAGCCTCAGGTCAGTTAAGGCGGCGCACAGTGGGACGAAATGCTACAGAAGTGGTCAAAGGAGCCTTCAAATCATCGCCAAAATATCTAGTCGGGGTTATTCGTAGGTAGAGAACTCATTTCAGTCAAAATCTAGGAAAATTACTTTGGGATGTTACGCCAGTACCAACGACCCACACCTGACTTTCTCACCAACCATGCCCTGTGGCACCAGCAAGCCTTCGGCAACCTTCTATGCAAACCATCGGCATAGGGTACTTTCGTAGATCCCTGAACCGGAAGCACACAGACGCCATGTTGGCGGAAGTAGATCCAAACTTGACATGGGAAAGAGACGTTCGTCAAACGTATCGGCCACACTTGAACATTAACAGTCGTTTAAAACTTGATTGCAGTGCATATGTGTTTCGCGAGCAATATTTGTACAGCTCGGCTTTAGTTTTGGATCCAAAGAGAGGTTAGTTTCCGGCCAATTTAGCGTCTGCTGGTGTGCTTGCTTCCGGTTCAGGATCTACGAAAGTACCCTATTCAAACCTAAGTGTTCGCAAGTCAGGACTGCATTCGTCAGTTTACTTTAGGCCTGGGCACTCGCCAAAGTCGACTAATGCATCATCAAAGCTAGTTTGCGAGGCACTTTTGACACCGTTCATCTCCGAAGATGCCGCGATGTGCGGCGATTGGCGGTATGGGCCGGAAAGGGGGCGGCTACTCTACCACTGCCACGAGGCGGGATGGTAAGCAAATATTCGCAACTTAACTTGTCGCTCCCTAAAAGTTGAAAAATTGTGAATTGCAATACTTTTTACAGCGTGTAACATTTAACCCGAAGACAAAATAGAAAATTAAACGCAAGCGAACGATTTATCAGGTCTTCAGCTTTCCAAAAACATACAAAATGTTACTTTGAAGCATGCAACCGCCAGAAGGAATTATATTCACCTATTGGAATGGATGCACGAAATTCTGAAAATGTGTCAAGTTTAGAGCTCCGTAGGGGCTCACCCGCGTGTCATATTGTCACTCCAATTAGTGTTCTGGGTACCCCACACCTTCCTTTCCAACATCTGGAAGTTTGAAGGACCCACCACTCGGTTATAAAAATACCACTTCTGACCACTGTTTTCACGTTTCGTCCCACTGTGCGGCGTGGGATGGTCGACGTGTGAAAGTGTGCGTAGAATCTTTTTTGAAGGTTGCATTAAGCTGTGCCCTGGGTTGGCGAGTGCATTGTCTGGGCGAAGTAGTACAGCATAAGAATCACATAAGAACGCCATAACGGGACATAAAGGAAAATCGCTCTCGAAATTTGATGAATTTTATCCCATAGTTGGAGGATTGGATGACCTGGCTTATGGAGTCATAGGGCGTAGGTGAGCTTTTTGTCAACTGTCCCGAATTCTCCTCACGCACTCTCATTCCAAGTACGTGACATCACGTTGAAACGAACGTCACAAAGTGTCACGTTCGTTTGAGCATTGAGTCAAATTTAGGGATGGTAAAATACCGGTATTATATATTTTGGTATTTTAAATCGGTTTTAAACCGAATATGCTGAATCATACCGAGCATAAAACTCAACCGAATTTGACATTTGGTCACGTTCGTTCCAACGTTATGTCGCGCACTTGGAATGAGAGTATGCCACAGGCAACTATGAAGTCAGGTGATCGTGGCTACATTCGTCCATTCTTTTGTACGTCCAACTCATTTCCAGAGGCCATTGCAGCACACGATATCCGTCCACGTTTTGATCCTGCGCGCGTGCCATTCGGTGAACGCCGCGTTCGGACTGCTGATTCCATTGTACTTGTTGGTAAGAAAGGAGACCAGCACATCCTTTTCTGGTCCGCCCCAAGGGAGCCAAAGTTGATTCAAATTGGAGTTTTGTCTCCAACTGCGGTCGGACCAGATATGAGATCTAACAACTCATGCAGTCTCAAAAGATTGGAATCTCAGTTGCTTTTTCAATGAGCAAACTGTCATCCAATTCGGACGGCTTCGTGCCAGCGGGTGGCAACGGCCTGGGGAGAGCGTGCCCGTCAGTGCAGAGGTTGCGCACTTCTTCGTGACTATGAAAACTAGACTGTGTTTTTCAAATAGCTTAGCACTGACTGAAAGGCCTTGAAATTTAGGGTGCATTAGGGTAGTTGCCCTTCTCAAAACTCCCACCTTACTTAAAGGGGCTCACCAGTGAAAATGCAGAGGTTTCGAAAAACGATCATTCTGAGAAAAGTAACCTATGTATTCGATTGATATTTTATTCTTGGCTCAAAATTATATCAAAGAAAAGAAAAAAATAGGGTAAACTATACAGTTACCGTCAGTTTAAGAGCATCGCTTTCTTTTCAAGGGCCTCTAGGGTAGGTTATGACACTTAGACCCGTGCGACTTGTTCCAGACACCTCAGAAGGATCTAGACAACGATGTGGCTGACAAAGATTTCACTAAAAACTTTTTGTGACGCTCTTATTTAACCTGAGAAAAAGGATACCAAAAACACATTAATCGGCAGCCAAAATACAGTTATCGGCACCCCTTATGACAGTTATCGGCACCCCTTGTTAAAAAGGCAAAACATGACCGAAAGTGACGAAAATTTCTAACAGTCGTCACAGACACTCTATATCTTCCCTTGACATGTTACGAACCCCCTCTCTCTTCTGTTATGCCTCTTGCGCCCTTCATTTCAGACTCACGGACAACTAGCACCATGAGCTGCGAAAAAACAACCTCTCAAAGCGCCGAGGAGGACTTTCGTAAATCACGTAGATCACTGGGAAATAGTGATCCGATTTCATTCAAATTTGGCAGGGGTTTTCCTACGGTCATAATGCATCAGAATATTAACTCCCGTGCGACGCCCGAAACACCAGTGAAGTTTGAGGCCACCCTGACGATAACTGTGTTTGGGGTGATTTCTCTGGTGCAGTTATCGGCACCCCCCGAAGGAGGGCAATCAAGAGGAATTTCTGTGCACCAAGCACATTATGCCTTCTTCAATAGATGGGGAGAAGGAACCTGGCAAGGAGAATAGTTTTTTCCGGCCCACTTTCACGAATTTAACGAAAGATTGAACCCCTGTTCCTAGCATGGAAGATAAGAACGGGCGGCCGAAGCAGCTTCATTCTGCACTTGACAAGAAACTTGGCTCTGTTGGCTGACATGGTCAGTCAAACGCGGGGCTTAGGGTGGTCCAAAAAAAAGTGAAGTTGCTCGGATCGTCCAACGCCGCCCGGATTTGGATTCTACATCGAAAAATATGAAATACGTGATTTTTCCTTTTTCGAAAAAATGATTTTTAGGACCTCCGCAGAGCCCTTAAAGTTTTTGACAGTGCTATAAATAGGAAAAAATCGTAACTTGGTCATTTTTTGACCGATTTTCAAAAACGAAACGGGGATTTGTTCGTTTTTGAAAGCTTATTACGAAAAAAAATATGCCAAACCCCCTTTTTGGTGTGTCTAACTTTCAGGGGCAAAAAATGACTAAATTCCGGCCCAAATTGGCAATAGTTTCCGTTTGTTGGCCGCTACAGCCACTCCAAGTCCACCCTGTCAGCATGGCGGGGCACAGTGGGGCGAAAACGGAAAAAGTCGCACGAAATTATTTTCTTCACCAAATTTTGTGTATCGTGTATTTAGGGGTCGCTGAATTCATTTCTGACGAGATTTGATCGTGAAAGGCACCCTAATGGGCGGAGCCAGGTGCGTGAAGGGGGGTAAAACGAACCTTATTGCTGAATTCTCGCAAAACTTTAGATTTGAGGGTTTCATTGGTAGTGAAAATCATTTCTGAGGAGATAAGAAGACAAAAGATATACCCAGGAGACGACCAAACGCGCCTCTTGTGCCGCCTATTGGTACTGGCTGCACCCGAGGCCTGCGAAACGTTGCATGTCTTGGCGTAACAGCATGACCACGGAAGTTGTATCACTATCGGTGGCAGTCCAAAACGATGTCTGGTGTGGCACAGTGTCTGGCAGAGCTGGCTGGAGTAGCCAGCGCGCGTAGCGCCTCTGCCGTCCTCTCCCGAGGGCGCGGTGCGGTAGCGGCGGTGTGGCGCGGCGAGACGAAGTCGCATGTTTGACGTCGATTTGAAGGAAAACGGCATCGAACGGCATCGCCGGACGAAATGGACATGAAAGTGGGGTCACCATAATATCTCACCACGGTGCCCGACCGGTTCGCAAATGTTCGCAACTCGACTTATCCCTCGTCAAAAAAGTCGCAGACGACGATTTTCGCAAACATTTGAAGACCCGCAGTTTCCACACTTTTCGTTTGAAACCGATTCCAATGAATGTACTGGACTGCTTGATTTTTTGCCTTTCCAAAAACATATAAAACATGTTATTTTGCTCTGCAACAGGGATAGGAGTAGCCTTTCTTACCCGACCCCCGCCAAATGTATCATTTTCTCGCAAAATTGCTCTACTTTAAGGTCGCTAAACGGCAAGTAGTAGTTATTTGAGGTGCACAAAATGTTCGTAACTGTATAGAATGGTCCTTTCTGAGTTCAAAAACGTCGGCCCCATCCCTCTGGGACAAAAACGGCGAAATCGGACTTACGTGCGACTTTTTCCGGTTTCGCCCCACTGTGCGGGGTGCCCCCACCACAAGGCAAGCCCCACGAACAGAATTGGGATGCTGAGTACAATTTGCCTACCTCCCCGGGGCATCAAATTGTGGATTTTTTCGAAAATCTATCAATAGTGATGTCTCTTGCGGCCTCTGGGCACTCAGATCGGCACACTTTCACACGGTTTGATACCCACACTACGTGATATGAACGTTATGGAAGTTGCTGACGTGAGGGACCGCAAACCACGCAAGGTCACAAGAAAAGCCATCAAAATAAAGGAATTTTCTGAATTTTTACGTTTTTCTGGTCCTGAGAGGTAGGCATGAGGTGCTCAACAGTCCATTCCTATTGTTTGTTCTTTTTACGTAGTGCGGGTACCGAACCATGTGAAAGGGTGCCCATGTGAGTGTCCAGAGGGGCCCCAAGAGACATCACAATTGATAGATTTTCGAAAAAATCCACAATTTGATGCCCCTGGGAGGTAGACAAATTGCACCCGGCATCCCAATTCTGTTCATGGGGCTTGCCTTGTGGTGGAGGCACCCCGCTATGCTGACAGGGTGGACTTGGAGTGGCTGAAGCGGCCTTCAAACCGAAACTATTGCCAATTTGGGCCGAAATTTAGTCATTTTTTGCCCCTGAAAGTTAGGAAAACCAAACAGAGGGTTGGGCATATTTGCTTTCGTAATAAGCATTCAAAAACGAACAAATCCCAGTTTCGTTTTTGAAAATCGGTCAAAAAATGACCAAGTTACGGTGTTTTCCTTTTAATAGCACTGTTAAAAACTTTGCGGGCTCTGCGGAGGTCCTAAAAATCATTTTTTCGAAAAAGGAACAAACACGTATTTCGTATTTTTCGATGTAGAATTCAAATCCGGGCGGCGTTGGACGATCCGAGCAACTTCATTTTTTTTTGGACCACCCTAGCGGGGCTGTCTCGGTCCTGCATGCTCAAAAGGTGTCTCTAGCGACCTGCATTGGCCGCATCACTAACGGAGAGCAGAACTTGCAGAGCAGGACCCAATTATTCGCCGAGATGACGATAACTGTACCCCTGCCGATAACTGTATAGTTTACCCTAGTATGGTAGTGCAGGGTGGCGATGGCAAGACGGAACGCCAGTGCACTTCATTTTTCTGCGACCTTCCTTCACTCCTGCCACGATTCCGCCTCTCTGGATTGAGCCTCGAGCACGGGATTTGAAAATTTCTCAACAGGACACTTGTGGCTGGGTGATTCCGTGCGTAGGGGGTCATTTCAGGTCACCGGGGCCTTGCCCTTGAACTGAGGTTGATTTGGTGGCTCAGGCAATTCAAATTTGTTTTACTAAACGAAGACCATGTCCTCATGTGGATAAGTCAATCTAACTTTTGTTTTTCTAGGTTTCGTAAGCTGCTTAAGTGTCGTTTTGTAAGTTCCGTCATGGTCACCAACACCTTTAAGACAACATTGCCATGCTGTAGCATATGACTCAGCCACATCAAAAGAAAACTGGCTCTTTCAGCATCGTGTTGAGGAAGTGCTAGACTACCAGGAACCCGTCAGGGGTCGTCGTTGGACCTCCGGTACGCCCAGGATGCCGACGAACGAGGGTGCCGTGCCGCCATCGTCGGCATCCTTGGCGCACCGGTGGTCCGACGACTACCCCTGACGGGTTCCTGGTAGTCTAGCACTTCCTCAACACGATGCTGAAGTCAAAAGTCCCGGACACCGAAACGGAACGCAGCCAGAGGCCGAAGATGATTTTGGCCTCCGACTAAAAAGTTGCTTTGACGGACTCCTTGTGGTACGTCCTCGTATCTCCGGAACCGCTTGTCCTAGAGCGTCGGCGACCTCGGCGTTGGACTCCCCGTGTCCTGGGGACCTCGAGGACACCATCGGGGACCCCCAGGTCGCAAATCCTGGACACCTGGCCATGGACCTTGGCGATTTCAAAATCGCAGAAAAGTCCGTAACCCCTGCACCTCGCTCGTGCATGGCTTCACGCGCTTCCTAGGCCGTTGCCACCCCCTGTTTGTGCTCGAGATCCACCGGTTTCTACACGAATCTAGGGTGAAAAAAGTTGATGAATTTTGTTTTTTTTAAGTTGACCTTATGCAAGGTACACTCTCCAACAACAAAATGTTGATTAATTTTTATGAAGAAATGTATTTTCAAAATAACAGGCCGGGTCTATTGTTGATTCAACAATAAAATGTTGTTGAATGTTGATGAAATAATTGCACACACTGGCAAACCAAAGGCATAGAAACTACGCTCGTAAGGGCATGAACAGTCTTTCACGCCCTTCAAGGGCATTGTGTTAGTGCCTTTGTTTTACCAATGCATTAGTCTTTGAGAGCGCCATCGAAACACATTGTTGACGACAAGGTTGTTCAGGTAACGACAATATATTGTTAATATCAATTAACAAGAATATTTCATTTATTTAACGACACTGTTTGTTGATTTTCCTCGTCATAACGACATGTGTTGTCGAAATGACAGCAATATTTTGCCAACATCACGTATTGTTGGGCCCTATGTCGTAGATTCAACAAGACTTTTCTAACAGTGTATTTCGCTGCGACAGTTGAGCGTGGCTCTGTCGCTACTGAGTACAGTGGCGCTGGTTCAGTCCGGCCGGGAAGCGGATCCTTTCGCCCTGCTGTGCTTCCCCCTGCTCTTCATCTTCTTCGTGCCCATGTGCCTGGCCGGGCAGCGTGTGCAGGACGCGAGCCGGGGAGTTTCGTTCGCTACATTTTCTGTAAGCCCCGCACAGCACAGCGGGCCAGAAGACCGGTGGAGGTGGCCAATGTTGTCGTGCTTTGAGCTCCAGAGTCGCTAAATAGGACTCTAACAAGACCGCGCCAATGGGCTGCTCTACGAACGAGGAATCCATTGCCAGGGTCTCACGTTTCTTCAGAATGCTGTTTGGCTACTCTAGAGGTATAGACGCCTCTAGAGTTTCGGTCGCCTCCAACGGTCTTCTGGACGTCTCTGCTCCGTCACGTTAGCGAAGGTCGCTCGTACAACAAATCGTGCTGTTGTACGAGTGGCCTTCGCTTACGTGACGGAGCAGAGACGTCCAGAAGACCGCTGGAGGTGACCGAAACTCTAGACGCGTCAAGACCTCTAGAGCCTCACTGTTCAAAAAAGTGTACAACTGAGTGAAGAAGGTGTGGAATGTGCTGATAGTGAATCTGGAATGTGAGAGATTGTTACGAAAATGTGTAGAATATGAGGGCTTGGTACGACAAGAATGTGCAGAATGTAAATGAATATTGTGGGAATGTGTTTGAATGGGCGTGCATGTATAAGTCATGCACAATTGATGGTAGAGCGGGAATGTTAGTGAATGTGACCGAATGTGTGAGAATATTGGGCGTTGCGAAAGAATGTCGCGATTGTATGGGCGGGTGCGGGGAATATGTAGGGAATGTCTAGAATGTGAAGGAAAGTGTGTAGAATGTCTAGAATGCTCAATTTTTTACCTGGACCGTCCGTACCTTGGCAACCACGGAGGTTCTGTACATGTTTTCTGTACATGTTTTCTGTACCTGTTTACATAAGATCCTTATGGGGACCACAGAGAACCAGTACAGATGGTCCGTACCTTTTCCGTACCCGTCTGTACCCCATTTTTCCGTACATTTTCCGTGCCAAACCACGGAATTTTTTGCAGTGTGTGAAGGGATGTGTGGGGAATGTTTAGAATGTGAAGGAATGTGAAAGAGTTTGGTAGGAATGTGTGAGATTGTGTGAACAATGACTGGTACTGTGTTCTGGTACTGTGTTCAGAATGTAAACTGATTGTACGAGACTGTTGAGAGAATGTGTCTGAATGTGACCGACTGCATAAGAATGTAAGGGATTGTAGACGAATGTCGCGTTTGTGTGAGAATGTGAGGAATGTGCATTAGAGTTGTGAGAGAGATTTTCGGGAGTTGGGTCTCCAGTTGTACAACAATTATGGGCAGTGTGTGTTTGTAATATAGAGAAGCAGCCCGTAAGATACGGAGAACTCTTCACGAAAGCAGGGATCCTTAACATTTAACTAACACTGCTTTCATAACGTAACATAATTTAATGTTCGCTGAAGGTTAAGGGTATAGACTTATGAAAGTACTTGCAAAAGTATATCTACACAAATTCGAGACAAAAAAAAATTCCTACCCTTTTGAAAAGATGTTAGAAGTTAAGGGTAATAACATTAACTCTTATGATAACGTTATGATGCCCTTATAAGGTAACTTAAGGATCCCTGCACGAAAGGTTATCACCTAAGCCGTGCAGTCACGATACTGAGCTTTTTGTTCGCATTACGAAGAAAAAGCTCAGTAGGGTATGGGAGTGCTGGGTTTGCACAGCTCAAAACGTGAACAGAGGGGAGAAGTAAGTGATTTTTTCATCGTGAAGGGCCCGTGGCTCGTGGAGAACCCACGCACACGCCGCACCCGGTTGATGATCATGACGTCATGCGCGCGACCGGCGAGCTTCTCGATGCCGGGCGTGGGAACTTTGAATCGCCCCACCTGCCGCAAGGGGTTGCGGTCTTGGTTCCAGTTCGTGCAGGTCCTGCTCAACTTGAAAATGCATTAGCACTGTCACAAAAAATACCTCCGAATAAAGTAAAAGAATATGAGTTGACTGCATTATGTCCGCGATGAAACACTGGTAAAATAAAGGCGTAAAAACTGCGCCATTTAGGGCATAAATACTCTTTTACGCCCTTTTAATTCGTAAATCGTTTTATGCCCTTGGGAAGGGCGTGATCGGCATGGGACTTCAAAGCAAAATGTTAATGCCCTTTCCTAGGGTATAAAACTATTTATGCCTTTAAGGGGCGTAAAGTGTTCTCACCGAGGGGGTAACGACTGGTAAATTTCGTGTCAGCCGGATTACGGATTACCCCGGATTATTCCCAAATTACCTCCGGATTACAACAAAAACATTCCTGGATTACCCCGGATTACCTCCCAATTTACTGTCAGCCGGATTCCGGAAGTCGGTACCCGGGTGATTCCGTGCGTAGGGGGTCATTTCAGGTCACCAGGGCCTTGCGCCTGAACTGAGGTTGATTTGGTAGCTCTGGCAATTCAAATTTGTTTTACTAAACGAAGACCATGTCCTCATGTGGATAAGTCAATCTAACTTTTGTTTTTCTAGGTTTCGTGTGCTGCTAAAGTGACGTTTTGTAAGTTCCGTCATGGTCACCAACACCTTTAAGACAACATTGCCCTGCTGTAGCATATGACTCAGCCACATCAAAAGAAAACTGGCTATTTCACTCTCTTCCCTGACTTATTCTTCGCAAAATTACGGAAGGTGACCTTTGTATCATCACTTGTTAAACCCGAAACAGCCTATGGGAAAATGTCCACCGTGTGACCATGTGACCTATGCTGCTTTCACAACTGACGGTCTACTGGGGTTCCTTTTCGTTTTAGAACCTCGCGACCACTTGGGATCGAAAGAACATAAAAAACGCTTCCAGAAGCCCGTGCCCGCGGGACATTGGGCGGTCAAACGACGCTTCCAGGCCGTCAGAATTGTTCAAAACGGTAAGGGTGTAAAAATAGATGTAAATTCCGTTTCGGGCCGTAGCTCCCATATCTGAGGGAGAAAATTTCCACAACCTTCGCTGAAAAACGCTATTTTGGATGCTCAAAATGACACCGTCAACAGTTTTTACCTATCTTGTAACCCAGCGGGTCAGGAGACGAAACACTTCGCTTTGTAAATTCCGTCATTAATTCTGTAATTTCCGCCGTATTTCATAAGGGGTGAAATTAAAAGTCAACTTGTTGCGCTGCCACGCTCAGAGGGGTACTGTGGGGTTCTATGTATGCCATCTACACCAAATTTAGCCACTAAAGTTGAACTTTAAAAATGAACATTTGGTACATCCAAAATGACCCTCTACGCACGGAATCACCCACCCCCTCGGTTTACACCCTAAAAGAGCATAATTTTAATGCCTTTTAATGACCAGTTAAGTCATCCCGTAGTTTTGGTTGCGTTAGGTAGGGTCTGGGCGGGAAAAAACTGGACAGGGCAAGAACTGGACACCCCACATTGTACTTCAAATGCCGTATGTACCGGCCCGACAACAGTTGTGTAATGAATCGCTGCTGCCACGGAACAACTTTTAAAAGTTGTTATTCCTGTGCCTACGGTATTTGAAGTAAAATGTGGGGTGTCCAGTTCTTCCCCTGTCCAGTTCTTCCCCGCCCTGACCCTAGGGGGGTCATCCCAATGCTAATAGCCCGAGGGGGTTACGACTTCGGGAATCCGGCTGACAGCAAATTGGTAATCCGTAATCCGGATAACCAGAAATTTAGAGGTAATCCGGGGTAATCCAGTTTTTTTTTCATGATCCCGAGGTAATTTGGCGGTAATCCGTAATCCGGCTGACACGAAATTTATCAGTCGTTACCCCCTCTTTAAAACTTTGAAGGATTTTCGTTTTGCTACGAGGGGCGAAATATGCACAGTTGTTTGAGACCAAGGGAGGCTGATACCTGAAATACTTCTTACACAGCCCCATAATACAAGAATAATGCCTAACTTCAAGGTAGGTGTACGCCAGGCCATGTCTTGACCCGTAACAGGCTTCGCGATGCTGCGCCAGTTGAAACAATTCACACACTGCAGCAAAACGCTACAGAAATTTCTGTAAAGAGCTTGTGGTAATTCTCCGTAGCCCCCCGTCATTATTCTCCGTAGGCTCAAGTGGTTTTTGGCTGAAATGATCAAACGGATTATGAAAGAAAGCTGAATTTTGATGTGTGGCGAGCTGAGAACATACCGGAGCGATTCTCACGTTTCGGGGTAGTTTCGTTTCTTCTGACTCCTGTGCCCAAACGAGCGCAGATATCGACATGGGGTTTGCTTCTGATGTTAGGGAGGGCCATTGCCCACTAAACGCACACATTTCGAAAAGTTCACGTTCGTTGGATTGGTCCACGTAGCGTTTGGAATACCCTAAATGTAACTTCCGTCATTGTCCAAAGAGAACATACTCGAACTTTCCACCCCCCAGTGTGGCGGTGTGGTTCGAAAATGCTGCCAACTGTCGATGGGGATTCAAAGCTTGGCATGTCTTGAGCTAATTTCAACTGAAGACCAATACGCCAGACTTCTTTCAAAGGTACTTATGCTGCAACGAAAAATGTCCACCGTATGTTCAATTTCACTACACAAATTTCGAAAAGGCAGCTCTGGACTTCTCCCCAAGCCAAACTTTTAACTTCCCATGACACAAGCCATCAAAGTAGAGTCCCTGGGATATAATTGCATGGGTCGCGGAAATGTAAGATGCTGTGCACGGTCTCAAAGCGGGCTAGATCATTATAAAATGGCGTGTATCAACAATTACCTGTGACTTCCGTGGCACCCTTTACCCAATGTTGCAGCAGCACTAGGTGAAAAAATTTCCGCTGAACTGTCGGGCTTAGAGTATCATTTGACCCTGGAACGACTTTTAATCCACAGCAAGCCCGAGTCAGCCGTTAAAGCCGATTTTCACACTTTGTAACTTCCGTGATAACGTAACTTCCGTGATCAAAACACCCACTAAAACGTATGAGAATACCTTATGGCTCATGTTTTTAGGAAGGTAGTAGAAGGTCTTTACTATAAATACCATTGCCATAACTCTAGAGTCATCCAAGACCCCAATAATCAGAAAAACTTAATTGAATATTTCTCACTTTCGGCAAATCAGAGACGCCAAAACTACCCCGAAACGTGAGAATCGCTCACCGTAAGAGCCTGCAAAATCTCAGCCAGATCGGCCCAGCCGTTCAGGAGGAGTAGTGGGCACACACACACACTCGCAGACAGAAAAAGTTTTTTAACCCCATAAGAGGTCTACGGACAATCCGGGCAAATAAATTAACAGAACTTTCCGTAGCTTTTTGCCACAGTGTACCTGGCGTTTTTCACGTCCCTTGGCCTGCGGCGCTTCCTGCTTGCCTTACTCAGTTGCCACAACTCAAAAAGCCGGGCTTCAGGACCCTCCTTACGATTTATCGTTGAAAAGGTCGTGCCGAGACCTACCGAAAGCCGAATTTATATTTTTGGCTGAGCGATAGCGAAGCCCTTGTCAAGTTTGGCCGCGCTGAAAAGTGACTGGTCGTGCGCCTGTCTGTAGCTCTGTTTGTACTCACCGACGATTCTCAGCAAGATTTCGTATTAATCGGTATTAATTGTCGCCTTAGTACCCCCCAACACGAGTTTGTTTCAAATCCACCGTTAAAAAAGTTATGAATTTTCAAAGCAATTTTGATAACAAGGTAGGTTTACGCCAGACCGCGTCTTGTCGTAACAGGCTTCGCGATGTCTCGCGGCCTGTTCCTCCAATCCGCGCCTGGCGTACCTACCTTGGCCGGCGGCGCTAGCCTGCCTTCGGCAGGCAATGGCTTGTCCATCATCGGTTACTTCTTACTTGTTGCATGCTGTGGGGCTCCGCCCTCCAGACCCCCTTCATTCTAGATAGAGTTGCTTCATCTACAGATAACACGATTTTGACCCTTGAAACTTTTTAACTTGTTGGGACTGGGGGGCTCCGCCCCCTAGACCCCCCTTCCTTTGAGACAGAAGTGATCTGCCTGCAGAAGACTCGATTTTTCGCCGTTTTTGGCTTAGCGATAGCGAAGCCCTTGCCGTGTTTGGGCGCTCCAAAAACCGACTGGTCGTGAGTCTGTCTGTCCGTCTGTGAGTCTGTAGCGTACACGCTCACGTTTCTCAGCAACTACATCACCAATTGTTCCCAAATTTCGTACTGAACATCTTCAAAGTGTCCCACAGGGGGAGTTTATCTTAGATCAACAATTATCATCGTTTGAAATATTCAAAACATCGTTTTGAACTAGGTTATTATCGTTGTTAGGTTGGTAGCAGTGTGTGGCTGACCAATTTCTCATACCGGCTGCCGCGCTTCCAAGCCGTCTGCAAGACGAGACGGCACTTTTGCAATTAAACAAACTAAAGAGCAAAGGGGTTCTCAAAAAGGTACTGAGATAGTTTTTTAACATTCTAGAATGATTGAATCCCTTCCGGAGAGTCAACAGAGAAAAATACGAAAACTAAATGTGAGAATGGTTTGCGTGTTTCGTTCCCCTCTCCCCCTCCCCCGTCACAGGGGAATTTTTCTTCAGGTCAGTGCACTGTGGGTGTAGTTGTGGATTGTAAATAGAATGTTTTCTTTGCCTTTGTGTGCATCTACTGATTTTATTCTCTCTGATACTATCCTTATTTTTAAATTTCATAGTAAATCAAATCAGGTAAATGCATGAATTACTTCTGTTGAAATAAGAAGACATGTTAACTGTCTTGGTTTGTCTCGGGAAATGACATTCCATTGCAATGCTGCAAGCTAACATAAATATTCTAGTACTAACATCTATTGATTAAAAGAATCCATAAATAGATGTATTTAGTGCAATAAATAATCCATATATTTAGTGCTAACAGATTTTGAACTGATATTGGGTTCAATGAGACGATTCAGGTTTTGAGCGCTGGGTGACTTGGTAATTGCATTTAATAAGACAATTCTATTCACTTCACCAAAGCTTGTGTCGGACAACTGGAACAAAGTATTGGTAATGGTTTAAAAGCTTGAAGATAAAATAAAACGAGGCATGAATAAGGTAAATTATGGTGGCGTTTTGAGCAACAAGTGGACTCTGCATTTGACTTCATGAGACGATTCACTGAATTTGACAAAACTTGTTCTCCGTCGAATGCTTCAGATCAGCCTGCCCTACTCTACAAATCGAAGAGTGTACATGGTATGCTCTAACTGGAGCATGCCTGCAAGCACGCTCTAACTAGCGCATGCCTGCCAAGCATGCACTTACTAGCGCATACATGCCATGTACACGCTTCCTGATGCAGACAACTCCCTATCCCTTATGCACTAGATGCATGCTTCAGTTAGCGTGTACATGGCATGTATGCACTAGTTAGTGCATGCCTGGCAGGCATGCGCTAGCTAGAGCGTGCTTGCAGGCATGCTCCAGTTAGAGCATACCATGTACACTCTTCGATTTGTAGAGTAAACTGAGTCACTTTATATTAACTATGGTTACATATTCCAATCTATATTGTTGAATTCACTGGTTTAAAATGAAAGAATGACAAAAGGCTACTCAAATATTACTAATAAATATGTGAATTCATTTGTTGGAAGAAAAAGATGTGTCGAATAGTGAGTCAAGCAGACGAGTAGCTAATTAAGCAATTCAATGCTGGCAATGGAATGTTACTCGACTGAAGGAATCGCATTGGTGTGGCATCAGGGTATTGGTAACGACAAAGGGTGATCCATGAAGACCAACCCAGACCCATTCTTTACCAATTATTGATCAATTTTATATCAATATTTTTAATCGAATCTCATATTGATTCTTGGAGTTTTTGGAGTGCGGATTATGAAAACCACTTCCATTTCTACTCCAGACTTATATTTTCATCTCAAATTAGGTCATTTCGGACCAAAATTTTCAGGTCGAGTTTTATATGGTTTCCTGCAGTGTTTGATGAGCTGAACTCAAAAATAACTTCCAAATTTTTCCCAGACTCACGCTTTACCAAATTTTGACCAAATTTGGACCCAAATTTTTGTATTGAGTTTGATGTTGATCCCAACAGTTTTTTGTGTGCTGATAACAAAAATCACCCCCATTTCGAGTCCAGACTTATAATTTAATCCCAAATTAGGTCATTTTGGACCAAAATTTTCAAATCGAGTTTTATATTGTTTCCTGCAGTTTTTGGTGCGCTGAACTCAAAAATGACTTCCAAATTTTTCCCAGACTCACGCATTCCCGAATTTTGACCAAATCTGGACCAAAATTTTGGAATTGAGTTTGACGTTGATCCCAACAGTTTTTTGTGTGCAGATAACGAAAATCACTTCCATTTATACCCCAGAACTACATTTCACTCAATATGAGCCCACAAGCTGCACATTTCGTCTACTGAAGCAAAGTACGAAGTGCACAAATTCGCATCGCTCAGCCACACTACGCGCCCACACTAAACGGCGCGTACCCCTAGTTTTGGTGTTTTTCGCCTATAAAAACTGAACCACGTGAGCTACGATAGTGAAATTTCGCGTGTGCTGAGCCAAGAACATACCTAATAAGCCTGCAAAATCTCAGGCAGATCGGCCGAGCCGTTCAGGAGAAGTAGTGTACACACACACACACACACACACAGACACACAGACAGACAGACAAAACTTTTCAACCGCACAGGAGTAACGGGCTTCGATATCGCTCAGCCAACAATGTTGATCTACCATCAACGGGGGTAACTTATGACACCGGGGGTAACTTGGGACAGTCTGCCCTGTACAGCTTGTTGGTGCTGCCATTCAGCGACGGGGGTTCCTAGCGTCAAACCCGCGGCAGGGTTTTGTTTCAGAGGCCTCAGGGCACGCGCGGAAAGGTAGAAAAGGCGCGTAAGATCACAATTAGTATTTGAGAAACGAGAAACTACATAAAAGGGTTTTTTACAAAATATGTCAAACATTGACAAGTTGACCCTAGTGCAAGGAGTGAAATGCAGATTTGGCCGATTAGTCTCTCTGGGTTGTTAGATCATACGCAGACAATAACGTTCGCAAAAGGGCGTTGATTATAGTTTTTCTATCTTCGGTCCAGACTTCATTTTATCAAAAATCGAAATTTTACGGGGTAATTTGGGAGTCTTTTCCTCGTGTTTCCAGCAGTCCTAGCCTCCAAGGATTTGACTGACCCGCTCCCTGACATTACCATAAACTTTGGATTTTACGCTGATGATGGAAAGAGATGCCTTGCTCTGCAGTTTTGTCTTCTGGTAATCCATATTTTGAAATTTGAAGAAAATGCCTGGAAAATACCAGTAGAAAAGAGAGTTCCACGTAGAGCCCTAGATATAGTCCAATATCGGCCACTCAAGAGTTGCTAGGCCTGAATTCTAGGTCTACTGTCTACATGTTGTGACTTAAATTTATTACATCCATTAACATCAATAGATGCATGGGAATGTAGCTAATTACCTACTGTCCCAAGTTACCCCCGGGCATGGGGTAACTTGGGGCACTCTTTCGAGACCGCTAGGAAACGATATAATCGAGGCAAATGAACCAGACAAGCATGAAATCATGGGGAAAGTGTCAAACTTTAACATAGTTAGGATCCATTGGTCTGGGTGGATAATCTTGCCTCTGGCGTTCAAAAAACGTAAAAAAGTGTCCCAAGTTACCCCCGTTGACGGCACTTCCTTGCCTTGGCAGAGTCCCTTGTGAGTTCAAAGTGATAAGATCAATATCTGATCTGTATCTAGTCATTGCACGGGTGAACTGTTAGCCCCTAAACTTTTGACGCTACATCCGATTTTGCAATCATATTTTGTCTGGAGGGCACCGTTGACATGATATGACCTATAATTGAAAATGGGGCGGAGACTTCAACGCACGAGCAGGACTGCCTTCCCATGGGAAGTCCGAACCCATGGAAAAGTTCACATCATGGGGAGGTCCTCCCATGGTGCTAGGCCTGCACCATGGGAAACGACCTCCATTTCGCATGGCATGCCGCTTGTCCATGCTGCTGAACCGCAGTCTCGTGGGATTTCAGTGCGCTGTCATGGGATTTGTGTCATGGGATCCCATGCAATCCATGGTTTTTTGGGACTGGGGAAGGTTTGGACACCCTTGCCTTGAGTTAAATGGGTTGTTATTAACAACTTGTTAATGATAATAGGTTTTTCAGCGATTCAGAGGAAAATTTTCAAGGAAACATGCTGAAGAGTTTAACGAATTGTGAAGTTGAGAGTGCGTTCAGTGGACCAAAGGACTACGCACTAAATGTCATGGGACTTTTTTTGTCCCACGGTTTATGCAATTTTAAGCACATCCGACGCTGATACAAATTTGTTCCCGTCTGGTGACACATTTTGTCCGGCGCCGCGGGTCCGCGACTTCCCCTCCCGGGGAAGTACCAGTGGAGGGGCACCACGCCACACCTGCCAGGCGGTCCCAGCGCGGGCCGATTTCCCCTCCCGGGGAAGTGCCACACGTCGCCATGAGTCACCAAGATGGCGCACGCGACAGGCACGGACACGACAGCGAATCCCCCTCCAAGGAAAGTCGCATCCGTATAAAATCGCAGCCCGGCGCCTTGGTGGTTGCCAGTTCGCCACTGCTCACCATCTGCGCCACAACGAGTCGACCATCCCAGACGTGCCTCACAGCGCCTCCTCACTGCACGTCGTCTCCGAGTCCGAGCCGACACGTGACGCGGACCTTCACCATCGCGGGACGCCGGACCGGAACGCTCTGCCCCACCACGGACGTCGAGTCGAAGACAACTCGCTTAACTAAAGTATTGTATTCTCTCAAGATTAACGCCATCACGAATTGTTCCTTCTGAATAGAATAATATATTGGAGTTTTTACAAACCATCAACGAACCAGTCTCTGGGGTATTACTTAGCACTATCCTAACACAATATTACCTACACTTTCATGTTCCGAGAAAAACGCGATCAAAGTTGCGAAAACTTGGCTTTTCCCTTATGCATGTTTGCGGCCCACAGCCTCCTAAAACTGCATTTTTTTTCAGTTTGGAATGCGGTCTTCGCCATTTGACGCAGAAAAGAATGATCTATAATATTAACAAACAAAAAAAGTTGCAATTTTTGACTCTTTTCGAGTGATGTCCCCCCCTTAAGCATCTTTTTATGATACGGGCACTGAGTTAGTTGGCACACGGAGGACATCTTTCAGCAGTCCATGATATCTTTATTAAGTCTTTTAGCGTCTGCTTCATAGAAACGTATAAAGCAAACGTATTAAATTTTCCTGTCCTGCCTTGGAATGGTCTTCAAAATCAGTCAATCTGTCGGCCACTCTTTTCATTCATTAAAATTTAAGATAGTTTTTTTCTGCGTCAAATGGTGGTTACCACATTCCAAAATTCGAACAAGCTACTGCCTGCAATACAAAACCTCAGCTGAATCTGCCGAGCCGTTCAGGAGGCGTAGTCCGGACACACAGACAGACGCGCGCACCCACACACACACTCTCTCTCTCTCTCACACACACACACACACACGAAGAAGAAGAAGAGGAGGAGGAAGCGTTGTTAACTTGAGTTCACACTGCCAAAAAATTTGACGAAGGTAATTTTTATTGACAGAATAAAACTTTAACCTCAGCCAGTAGTTCTCTTGCCACTGTGATGATCGGTGCCCGACTAGTGCCCCTTCTTCTTGGGCTTCTTCTCGCTAGTGCTGGCCGCTCCGCCGGAGTGGGGCTGGCCGGTGCGGTGAGGGGAGTCGTCCCGGGCATTCTTGCCCAGGGCGAGGTACCCGGAGGTGACGTGGCCGTTGCTGTGGTCCACGGTATGGTCCACCTGCTGGCCGCCGGCGTCCTTAATGGTGTGACGGCTCGTTGGGCTGCCGGGGGCCTTGAACCAGCCATTGCCGGACCGCTTGACCAGCACGTGCTCGCCCTGCTCCTCGGCGGACACCAGCAGCGCGGCCTGGAAATGCACCCAAGGAAAGAGGTCATCGACAGTGCACTGAGAGTCCTGACGGCAGCGTCATAGTGCAGTGCGTTTGAACACGTTTTCATTTTTGTGCTAGGCTTTTTCATAGCTTATAAACAGCAATGCCTATCCATACAGTAACAAGAGGTAATTTTCACTTCTATTCAGGAAACACTGTAAATCTTGTCAGATTGTCAGAAACCTGTCTGGAAAACTGATCAAAACTCGCGCACCTCGGAAAACCGAAAACATCCCCATCCCCGGGCGTTCTATAGCATTTAAACCATCCACATCAGAGCAAGTTTTCAGAATTCAAGCTTTAACACGTCCGCGAATTTTGAACAGCACTGAGAAAACCTTACAAACAATTTTGGGCCTTAGAAAGAAAAGAAGTTTGTATAACAAAGTATTTTGAGCATACGTAAGCTTACAAAGAAAATCCTTCGTAATTTACGAACTATTTCTTCGTATAACAAAGTATTTTCGTTTGTTATATGAATGCTCAAAATACTTCGAAAGGTTTTAAGAGTGAGGACCTCATACATGTTTCTGACATTCTTAAAACACTTACACGATCAAAGTGACATCAGGTTGAAATGAATGTGACAAAATTTGTGACGACGCGAAATATCCGCGCCGCGCTCGCGCCCATCACTAGCAGGTACGTTTTCGTTTTACAGCAGGCGACGAGGAAACAATTTGAATAATTTTGCTGTAGGTTTTCCTTCAATCAGGGGGCGGTAACACTAGAAAGCAGGAGTGAGGCGAAGCTCTCGCTTCGTGCAGGGGCTACGGACTTCTTCGAGATTATTAACACTAGGCCATTGTTTTCAAAACGCCTCGCACAGATCGAAAGAGCATCAAATTAAGAGTGCATTAGACGCGTTGACCTTCCTGAAACTTTCAAGTTTATTAAGTACATAAGAGGTAATCGCGGAAATGTTTCTACAAAGATGGCGCCCCCGAGGTTTTTTCCTTAATTATTAGACTTATAGTATTTTTCGGTGTTTTAACTTTGATTCTTTGAGGGCTGAAGTAGCAGTTAAGGGATTGCCAATGGGTCGAATGCACCCTTTATGTGATGCTCTTTCGATATGTGCAAAGCGATTTGCAAACAATGGCCTAGTTTGAATAATCTCGAAGAAGTCCATGACCTCTGCACGGAGCCAGATCGGAGTGAGAGCTTCGGCGCATTGCGGCTATAGGGTGTTACCGCCCCCTGCCTAAATTAACAAGAAATAACGTCGGAGAAAGTCTAAACTGCTGATATTTGAAAAACTAGTGCCAATTTTTTTTTTTAACTGTTTGCTCCTTGTCAGCCGGCAAAAAGTGTTCGGAGAAAAATGTCTCCCTTGCAGGGCAAGTCTTTTGCAACATATGCACGCGTAACTTGCCGCCTGAAACGCATCACGCTCGTATGATGAATGTGGCACTTAATCTTACCGCCAGGCAGATGCCTGCAAAAGCGAAGATAGTGAGCAGTTTGACGGCCATGGTTGGAAGTTGTGAACTGATGCTCTCGTCGGTGCTTATATAAGACCAGTTGGCGGTCGCAGCGCACGACTTTGCAGGGATTCGTGCACCGAACTTATTCGAGAGACGTTACTGTTACCAAGGTCACAGTCGTGATAGCAGCGATATTCCCAATCAGTGTCACGCTTCTTGTGGGCTCCAAGGAGAAAAACACGTGTTGACACCATGGAAAGTGCCAATTCGTGAAATGCCACCAGCATTGGTGGGTTTTAAAAATGACGTCAAATTCCGTATTGGCTCCCACAGCGTAGGCCAGGTGAGATAATAAACCTGGCGTTGCGTGGAAAGTTGTGTCCTTGGAAAGGGAAAATGAAGCCGTGAAGGTTTTGAGCTTTTCGAATCGCACAGTCCGTTTGACGCCTAACAACTTCACTTTGTAATTTTCCGTCATTTAAAGATTCCGTCATCGTTTTTACTCGTTTGACTTATACAATACCCTTAGGACCCACTAATGTATTTATTTGGTTAAAAATACCAGCAAAAGGTCATTCTGCTCAATTTCGTGTAGTGCGGTCAAAGTTGAATTCGACCTTGAACTTCAATTCATCTTCAAATATCCGGTTATTTTGGCATGCCCCCCCTATGAAACGGTTAGAGCTAGAGAGCACAAATTTGGAAGTGCATTATGTTCACGAAATGGGTGTCCTACACGCTAAATTTTAACGCACTAGGTCAAAAGGACCCGCTCTGGTGAAGTGGTGGGAATTTTCCGTCATGACGCTAGTTGGCTGAGCGATAGCGAAGCCCATTACTCCAGTGGGGTTAAAAAACTACTCCTGTGCGCGTGTGTGTGTGTGTGTGCACTACTCCTCCTGAACGGCTTCGCCAATCTGGCTGAGATTTTGCATGCTTATCAGTTATGTTCTTGGCTCGGCAAACGCGAAATTTCACTTTCCTGGCTCAACTGGTTTAGTTTTTATAGTCGAAAATCACCTTAAGGGGGCAATACACTGAAAATGGCCAAAAACTGACTTGTGCGATTCACTGGTTTGGCTGAGCGATAGCGAAGCCCTTGCCGTGTTTGGGCGCGCTGAAAAGTGACTGGTCGTGCGTCTGTCTGTCTGTCTGTTTGTACTCACCAACGATTCTCAGCAACTACAGTGGCTATAGTTTCAAGATTTCGTATTTAACGTCGCCATAGCACCCCCCCAACACGAGTTTGTTCGAAATCGTTGTTTAGTATCGTTTGAAATATTCAAAACATATTTTTGAATCAGGTCATTAGCTTGGTTAGGTTGGCAGCGCGTCAGCGCTTACCAATTTCTCATACCTACGGGTCCGCGGCTCTCAAATACGGGACATAAGCAAATAAGCAAATAAAACGAATTAAAGAGCAGAAGGGTTTGGAAATGAGATCCGCCTTAGTTTTTCAACATTCTAGAATGATTAAAACCCTTTCCCAGTCCTAAAAAACCATGGAGCGCATGGGGTCCCATGGATGACTTTCCACGAGACGACGATCTTTCATCATGAAAATTTAGGAAAACACCACGAGCACTCTAACACCATGGGATGAAGCAAAAGATAATGCCATGGTTTAAGATCCACCATGGTGATTACACCACGGTTAAGCATGGCATCCCCATGGTGGCGCTCGCACCATGGTAACGTCCTCCAGCCCGTGCGTTGAAGTCTCCAGAGATTATTGAGAATTCCTTTGCAACTTGAAAACTACTAAAGATAGAGTGATGGCTACCGCTCCATCGTGCTCAGCATCGAATTTTTACGTGGGAAAAATGATCCCGCGGAACCCATGTGTCACATAGGTTGACTTTGTGACACGGCACTTGGAACGTCATGCACCATGAGTATGCCATGGGACCAGACACCATGCAAACCAGACACCATGGAATAATATCCTCATGGGAAAAGGGGCCAAAAATGAGGGGTGTTTTGGACACCATGGGGTTTTCCTTCCCATGCAATCCCATGATGTCCCATGCACCATGGGACCCTCCATGGTTTTTTAGGACTGGGTTGGAACACCAACACAGCGAAATATGGAGAATGGATTTGAAAATGATTTACGTGTTTCGTTCCCCTCTACCCCCCTCCACTGTCAGAGGGGAATCATCTTCAGGTCAGTGCACTTTGACAAAGCATTGTAAAAAGAATGTTTTTATTTTGACCTTTTGTATTGTGTGCATCTTCTTATTTCATTTTAGTGTCATCCTCTTTTAAAAATTTTCAAACTAGAGGAAATCAGGGAAATGCATAAATAACTTGTGTTGAAATTGGCAGGCAGACTTAGTTTGGACTCGAGAAATGCATTCTTTTGCAATGCTGCAAGCTGACAAGAGTGCAAAAGCACTAACATGTGTTTATTAATAGAATCAATGTATGGTTGTGTATATTTAATCCTAATAGAGTTTGAATTGATATTGGGTTCAAAGAGACGACTCAGGTTTTGAGCGGTGAGTCAATAAGTGCATAGACAACCAACTATATATATATGATTAGTGATAGGATTTAATGAGACGATTCCATTAACTTCACCAAAGTTAATATAACTGATAATACTTAGTATTGTTTACATGAGTAAGATAAATTATGTCGGTTCATTAAGCCTTGGGTAGCCTTGGCATTGGACTCTATGTGACGAAACACTGGATTTGACAATAATTGGTCCCCGCTAACTGGTTCAGATCAGCCTACCGTAAACTGACTCTCTCAATATTAACTGTGATAACATATCCCAATCAATATTGCTTTATTCACTGGTTCACAATAAAAGAATGACAAAATGTTTCATGACTATTACTTATAAAATTGTGAGTTCATAAGTTAAGAAAAAATAGTTATCGAATAGTGACCCAAACATACGAGTAGCCAATAAAGCGATTGAATGTTGGCAATTGAATTTTACTCGACTGATGGATTCGCTTTGGTGTGCCATCAGGGAATTGGTGATGACAGAGGGTGCTTCATGAAGACAAATAGAAACAATATACAGAAATTGAGTCTAAAGTATTGTGTGTAGTTTTCAGTGTACTGGTCACAAAAACTACATTTATTTCAACGCCAATCCTACATTTTCATCCAGAGCTACGCAATTTGGGGCCAAACTTTCCAAGATGAGATTTATGTGTTTCCTTGTATTTTTCAGTGCGCTGACCTCAATATTGACCTCTAAATTGTCCCCTGACCCAAAATTTAACCGATTTTTGGTTAACTTTTTTAAAATTAATTGTAGAGTGATTCTTGCAGTTTTTTGAGTGCTGATAACGAAAATCACTTTCATTTCGACTCCAGACTTATATTTTCATCCTAAATAAGGTCATTTTGGACCAAAATTTTCATGTCGAGTTTTATATTGTTTCCTACAGTTTTTGGTGTGCTGAACTCAAAAATGACCTTCAAACTTTTCCCAGACTCACGTTTAACCGAATTTGGACCAATTTTGGACCAAAATTTTTAAATGGAGTTTGACACTGATCCCAGCAGTTTTTGGTGTTCTGATAACGAAAATCACTTCCATTTGGACCCCTGGTCTAAAGTTCACTGAATATGAGCCCTTACGATGGACATTTCGTCTACTCAAGCAAAGTCCAAAGTGCACAAACTATGTCAATTCGCATCGCTCAGCCACACTACGCGCCCAGACTAAACGGCGCGTACCCCTAGTAAAACTAAAGCGTACTGTAGTATTACCCTCTGTTTTCAAGCGTAATCAGGTTACGGTTGAAATCAAGCGTAACAGGCCCCACCGCCAAGATTCCCCCTAACTAAATGCACGGGGGAATTTCCAGGGTATGCTTCATTTGAAGCGTAACGTCTTCAAGCGTAACTTTACTCTACAAATCGAAGAGTGTACATGGTATGCTCTAACTGGAGCATGCCTGCAAGCACGCTCTAGCTAGCGCATGCCTGCCAGGCATGCACTAACTAGTGCATACATGCCATGTACACGCTAACTGAAGCATGCATCTAGTGCATAAGGGATAGGGAGTTGTCTGCATCAGGAAGCGTGTACATGGCATGTATGCGCTAGTAAGTGCATGCTTGGCAGGCATGCGCTAGTTAGAGCGTGCTTGCAGGCATGCTCCAGTTAGAGCATACCATGTACACTCTTCGATTTGTAGAGTATGCTTGAATCAAGTCTAGAGTTACGCTTTAGTTTTACCAGTGTGGCTTCCATACGCGTTGTTGAGCGTAGTTCAAACTTTACATGTGTCAAGACCTGACAAAAAGAAGCATTTCAAGCCCAGAATGGCGTTGATCGGACGTCAGGGAGCGGAGCAGCGCCCAATCAAATTTTCGTCAAAAGTCGAACTGGCGGGCGTCCCTCAGTCCGCAAAAAGGAAGATATCTCGACCCCGTTTGCGCCAAAATGGAGGTAATTGAAGCGGCTATCGCATGAACTAGGATCATGAACAGCGAGCAACCCAAAGTACAAAATTTCATCAAAAAACACTTTTTTGAGGATTTTGCAAAAATGATCAAAACGGTTTTTTTTTCGTAAAACTTTGTACTTTTGATTGTTCGATGTTCATAATCCTACTTCATACGATAGCCGCTTCAATAACCTACATTTTGGAGCAAACGGGGTCGAGATATCTTCATTTTTGCGGACCGAGGGATGCCCGCCAGTTCGACTTTTGACGAAAATTTGGTTGAGCGCTGCTCCCCCTTGCAAAAAGGAATGGAAAATATGTTTCAATATATGACTCCATATATGTTTCATGCATTGCCAATATAATTGTATCTTGCTCAATATATTGCAAATTATCTTGCGCAATACGTGGTTTATATATGGGGGTATATCTTGGTGCCCGTTAATATATGATGCATGTATTTCCCCATATAATATTATCTTCGCGAAATGTATGTTTCAACATCTGACACGGTGCCCGTCGTGGGATGGGGCAGGGTGAGGAGGGCAGACTTTTCAAGTAACTTTTCTTTAAATCTTGGCACTCGATGTTGAAAGGCGGCTAAATTTTTAACATGATTTTATGGTGTAAAATATATTGACGCCATATATTGAGCAGGGGCAAGGTTCTTTTCTATGCGTTTAAGTCTCCAAGAAATTTTGAGAAATCCTCTTTAACAAGTTAACTGGAACAGTTTGGAAATTTTAAACGTCTTATTTGAGTGTAGCGCGAAAAGTTCGTTTAGGCGACCACGGTAGGATCGCGATTGGATATCCTCGCATGGCGAGGTTACATTCTTTGATAATTGTAAAGGAAGTCTCTGAGTCGTCAGACTCCATGGTGTACTCACATTATATATTGCCTACATATAGAGCAATGTATGAAATTTAAGTATTAGCCACATATTTTTTATATGGGAAAAGTATCTTGCTATATTATCTTTTCCACATATGTCGTCAATACATGTTGGGCCATAAATTTTGTCCATATAGTGCCCATATATTTTCCATTTTGCAAGGGCCGCTCCCTGACGTCCAATCGACGCCATTCTAGGCTTAAAATGCTTCTTTTAGTAAGGTCTTGACACATAAAAAGTTTGATCAACGTTCCACAACGCGTGTGGAAGCAATCACGCAAGTCACTTTTTGGCCATTTTCAGTTTATTGCCCCCATAAAAACGGCGAAAAATCCAGTTTTCTGGAGGCAGATCTCTCGTCTTGATGGCAGGTGGTCTAGGGGGGGGAGCCACCCAGCATAGAACAACACTGTTAAAAAAATCAGTTGTAATTTTCATAACATTGGTTGGCATTTTTTTTCACAAACAATTGTTATGAAAATTAAAATCACAAATGATTGTAAATTGTTTTACAATCACGTTATGAAAATTCATATCATGTTATGAAAATTCATATTCGCGTTTGCGAGGTCATTTTAGAGCAGTTATGCAAAAGGACAACTAAGTGTTCATGTATATGAACACCCAAGCGGCCTTATGCCATTTATTGAACCGAATCTGCTTTTGATCAGCGGGTTTCGAACCCGGGATCTTTGACTTGTGGTGCACGCTCTTTACCGCTGTGCTACCACGTCCCACGGGAGGCGGAGGGTCAGCTACACTGTTAAAAAAAATTACTGAAAATTCATAATTTTTTGTAAGAAGTCGATTTACTTACATTCAGTCTGAATTTTCGTACCAAAACTTTCATACTTCGCGGTCTGAAAGTTTCAGACGACGTTAGTCTGAATTTTCAGATCAACAAGTTGTATGAAAAATGATACCAGTCGGTCTATTTTATCAGACTAAGTTGTACGAAGACGTTGAACAGTCGCACTAAAAAATGCCACTCTGTACAGTAGAACACAAATCGGCGAACTTTTGCCATCGGTTTATGGTAGACGCTCAGCGGATCGTCTCGGCTCAAAAATTAGGTACACGGCAGTAGACTCCTACTTGCAAAGGTAGTGAAGAGGCTAGAGGTGACTGCTGAATTGCGAGGGAGAGCGGCCTTAGCCCAACCACGCGCCGACCCGTGGCCATGCGCGAGAGTGAAATTGTATTCTTTGTTATTTAGCTTATACTGCACTTATTAACCTGAATCTTGCTTTGGTGCGCTCATGCCTTTTCAGACAATCACTTGGAATAAGTTTGTAACAAAATATTCACAATTTCGCCTTCAAGTGGCAATTTTAGCTCCAAAAGATCATCCATGCGACACTAGCGCCACCCAGCGGATAGAGCAATAAGTGTCCATTTCGGAGCTCTGAAACATTCTCTATGCTTTTACGACACTAAACGTAAACATTATTTGAAGTACAACAGTAGTAATGATAAAAGTTCTCAGAAAATCGAAAAATGTACAAAGGGGACGGGGTTTTTCACTCGTTTTCCGATTTCACAAGTATGAATTTAGTTTTCGGACGACAATGTACAAAACTTGATAGCCATCGCTCTAAATATTCAGACTTGCTAGTCTAAATTCAAATTTCAGACAACAGGTCAAACTTTTCAGACAGTTGGTCTTAATATTCGTACCATTTTATGAATTTACGATTCAGACCGCAAAGTAAGACGAAATCAGTCTGAATTTTCATATTTTTTTTAACAGTGTACTGATGACTCTACCAGCGCCCCTTGGCCACGCCTCTTGAGCTAGTTATGAAATTTACAATCGGATTCGGAAAATTACTATTGTGTGCTCAAAATCAACATTTAAGATTCCAAATTTTCAGAACATGGTTTTAAAATTACCAACAATTGTCAATTTTACGAAATTGTTTCGAATTTTCGCATCAAGTTATGAAAATTGCAATGTTTGTAAAATTCATATCCGTATTCGTAAAATTGTCATCAAAATTGCTTTGAAAATTCATAACTTTTTTAACAGTGAAATTAGAAGTTACCGACGGTGGACAAGCATTGCCTGCCGAAGGTAGGCTAGAGCGCCGCAGACCAAGGTAGGTACGCTAGGCGTGGATTAAAGGAACAGGCAGCGAGACATTGCGAAGCCTGTTACGACAAGACGCGGTCTGGCGTAAACCTACCTTGTAAGTAAACTTCTGTTATACTGTGGGTGGAGCATAGATAAAGTAGGGGAGACTGGAAGCCAGCCTACGCTGCCGTGCTTTGACGTGTCCGGTTTATTGTCCCCCTTTGTGGCGTCCGAGGCGAGCAGTCCTGGAGACAGCCAGCGAAGGTCGCGCACTGTGATGCAAAACCGAAAAAAGTCACGCAAAATTGTAGAGTGCCCTTACTGCCAAATTTCGGGCCGCGGGGTTTTGGGGGTCGCTGACATCCTGAAGAGATTCAACGTGTACGACCACCACAGGGGCGAATCTCGGACGGTTAAGGGGGTTTAACACTGTAACGCTGCGCTTGATCACAGCCAAATTTTGTGCTAAGATGTTTTTAGGGTCGCTCACTTTATCCTGAAAGGATGGAACGTGTGCGACCACCACAGGGGCGGAGCTCTCGTAGTTTAGGGGGTAACGCTGTTACGCTGTGCTTGAACACTATCAAATTTTGTGGAAAGATGTTTTTTAGGGTCGCTGACTTCTTTTCTAAAGAGGTTGAATAATCGTGTACAGTACAACCACCAAAGGGTAGGAACTTGAGGTGCTGCATAAGAGGGGGCGATTACGGTTAAGTTTGGGAAATGGAAGTGATAATGCCGCGACTTTGCAGTCGATTTTTTCGGAAAGCGCAACGTTTCGCAACCTGACACCATATAGGCCTTGAAGTAAGCCTCGGGTACTACCATGAGGCTGTAACTGACCGGTTCGCAAGCGTTCGCAACTCGACTTGTTCCACTTCAAAATCAACAAAAGTGCCACAAGAACTGGTACGGAAAACTCAAGTAACACAACAGTAACACGAGAAAATCAGAACTCAAAGAACTGGTACGGAAAACTCAAGTAACACAACAGCAACACGAGAAAATCAGAACTCAAAGAACTGGTACGGAAAACTCAAGTAACACAACAGTAACACGAGAAAATCAGAACTCAAAGAACTGGTACGGAAAACTCAAGTAACACAATTGGTGACCGAGTGCTTTGACGTTAATTGAAACACATGTAGCGGATTTCTTAGACCCTTAGCTTTTCAAAAACATTAGACATGATAAAGTTTGTTGCGCAGATGCCGCCACAAGGACTATTTTTCGCACCGCATGTCGCTTTATTTGGTTTTTGCATCAAATTGCTCTATTTCAGTGCCATAAAAAGATAGGACTACCCCTATTATGACACAAAAAAGCTCCGCCTTTTTATTGCCATTTCCAGTCTTTCCTACTATGTTTATGGGTTGCCGTTGGCCGGCGGCAGCACGCCTCCGCGAATGGGACGAGGGACAGCCGGACGAGGACGGACAAGGGACGCCACACGGACGGCAGGCGGACCCACCAACAGTGTGCCTATCAGCACCGACGCTGCCGCTGCGATGCAGGCGCGGATCCAGAGGCAGGTGCGGGAAGGGTGTGTCTCAAGCAAGAGTCGCCTGTCAACAGGCGACTTTTTGCTTTTACTTTTGACGGGTCTTTGCAAACTTGGGGAGGTGGCCACCCATGTCATCCGCCCATGCTGCGATGCCACCGCCTCTCCATTCAGAAAGGCACCCTGGGCTTTCTGCAGTTGTATTGCTTACTCCACAGGTGTTGTCTATCTACCCGGTTACAAGTGTCACTACAAGGTTTCCGCAAACAAGCGCCAGATCGCAAACAATACCGTCAAGTCCCCTAAATGTGGACACGAACCCTAAAGTGGGACATTTTGACTATTTTCCCTATTTTAGGCTGTAAACGGCCAACGCGTGGATATTTTGCGAGGTAAAAAATGTTTTTGAGACGGTAGGACCCCTCCGAGACCATATCCGCAGAGAGGGTCTTGTTCCCGCTCATACCCCCTCCCCGAAAAATCTTTAATATTGGAATTTGATGCAGAAAAAAAGAGAAGTTTTTTCAGACGTCTAGCGCGGATTCGGGGCTTCGAGCCGTTGATGCTCGGACCATTCTAGACTCCAGACATGTTGTAGCGCGTTCTTTTATCTACAAGATGCACCTTAGAAAATTTGTTTCCGATGCTTCGTTTTACGGTGGGAAGCAATCTTCTAAGGGGCTGCAAAGTGGGACACATGAATTTTCTTCGTTTTTTTAATGTTTTGACCGATTCAGAGGCGTTGCATTCACCTCAAGCGTCCTACAAACGCCGCCTGGCCTATATTAGGTTGCCAGGTCGGTTTGGAGGCCCAGGCAGTCGCGCAAGTACGGTTCGGTACGCTTTAAGCCAGCACAAAATTTAGTTAATGTTTGAAAGCAAATGCTTCCTCTTGGCTTAACCGACAAAGATATCGTTATCGACCATAAAACAAACCTTGCGTAAAAATACTTTTTGAACAAATTATGTTTTAGAAAAAAGTTGCAGGGCGAACGGTTTTAAAATTCCAAAATTTCAACCTCTAATTCTTGCCGTGAATTTCGAAACTTATAAAATATGACCTGAGCAAAAAATTTCATAAAATGTTTTTGGTCAGAAATGAAATTTTAAGGCCATTTTGTTTTATTGGTTTTTGCCGTATTTCAATGGGTTTAGGCGTTACGGTGGTTTCTAATTTAAATATATCTAAGGAAATCTTATTGATTGAAGAGGCTCACTTAACCAGTCGAGATATCGAAAAAGACTTCAGAACCAATCTTGCTTCAAATTAAATTTAGAACATAATACATTTTATGAATTTTTTTCCTACTGCAGTTTTAGGGCGAAAAAGAATGAACGTGTCCCACTTTAGGGGACTTTGTCCCACTTTAGGAGACTTTGGCTCCTAAATTGGGACACGGTTCTTGCTGCTCCTACTGGAGCCCCATGGGCTGAAAAAAATTTTTGTTTTCGGTAAAAGGCGTGTTTTGACATGAGGATTCTTAGATGCCCGGCGATTTTCGGTGTCATCGTTATTTTGTGAATAACAGACGATTTTCCGTAAAAATCGTCCCACTTTAGGGGACTTGACGGTAAAAAATGTCCACACACGTCATGGGTAAAACTGAAAAACAAAAGAGTTGTTGCATTTTTAGAGAGCTGAAACGGTCAAAATACATTTAAAGTTTAATAACTCTTTCATTCAGACGAATATAATTTTTTAAAGTCATGTGTGTTTGGTCAAGTATGAAAATTTACTGCAGGTGCTGTCCGGCAGTAGTCCAGAAAGCCAAAGGCAGGTGAAGCGGTCGAAAATCGGGCCCCCGTCTGGAAATGGAATCGATTCTACCTCACAAGGGAACATATTCAGGTGGTACACTCAGATTCCAGCCAAACTTTTTTTTTTCGGAAGAGTAACATAAAGATTAAGAATGCACCTCAAAGTTGGTGCCAAGATATATATCTACACCCTTTCCCAATTTTTTAAAACCAAAAAAGGGGTTAAAATAAGCCTTTATGCAGTGTATGGGTCATTTTCGGACATCAAATCGGAAAATTTGAAGTCTAGTTTTTTATCATTTCCCACAATATTTGGTCCCCTTCTGACGAAAATGAGAGAAAATTTTGGTCTGTTTCATATATTATCCTATTTTGCACATACAGTATTTTGGTTCGACTGCACAATTACGACCGAAAATCTGCTCGTTGCATGTAAAAACATGGGCCATTTTACCCCTTTTCTCGGTTTAAAAAAATCAGGAGGGGTGTGGAGATGTATCTTGGCACCAACTTTGGGGTGCATTCTTAATCTTATATGTTATTCTTACAAAAAATAAAGTTTGGCTGAAATCTGAGTGTACCACCTTAATATGTTCCCTTGTCAGGCCGATTGTCGAATCGGACGAGAATGGGGACCGCCTTTCCGCGGCCCTTAAATCAAAATACCTTCTTAATTTGCACCATTTCTACATTACCCGACGATAACTGGGAATTACCACGATGACTTTTGATTTACTCGATTACTTGAGATCACCACGATTGTGATCACCACATGATTACTACATGGTTATCGAGCCGTGTGCACGTGATTACCATGACTCGATTACAGCAGAATCTTGCAGTCTCCTTGAGGAAGTGAGTCAACAAAATGGTGCTTGCTCCCTCCTAAGCAAGTCGTATCACTAAAATCGTAAAAGTTGCGACCATCATAATGACAAAATTAAGAGAGTGTAATTTTCTACACTTTGTCGCAGCATTGGTGCTTTTTCGTCTGGGCAGGCACACTGCTGTTGGCCTTCAACCACGTTCAGGGCAAATACATCCAATCGTTTTCTGTACGTACACCGGTTGGCAATAATTGATTACCGTCAACGGGGGTAACTTGGGACAATTTTTCACGTTTTTTGAACGCCAGAGGCAACATTCTCAACCCAGACCATTTGATCCTAACTACAGTATGTTAAAGTTTGACCATTTCCCCATGATTTCAGGCTTGCCTGGTTCATTTGCCTCGATTACATCGTTTCCAAGCGGTCTCGAAAGAGTGTCCCAAGTTACCCCATGACCGGGGGTAACTTGGAACAGTAGGTAATAAGCTACGTTCCCATGCATCTATTGATGTCAATAGATGTAATAAATTTAAGTCGCAACATGTAGACCAAGAATTCTGACCTAGGAACTCTTGTAGGACCGATATTGGACTATATCTAGGGCTCTACGTGGAACTCTCTTTTCTACTGGTATTTTCTACGCATTTTCTGAAAATTTCAAAATATGGATTACCAAAAGACAAATCTATAGAGCAAGGCATCTCTTTCCATCATCAGCGTACAATCCGAAGTTTATGTTATGTCAGGGACTGGGTCAGTCAACTCCTTGGAGGCTAGGACTGCTAAAAACATGAGGAAAAGACTGTCCCAAGTTACACCGTAAAATTTCGATTTTTGATAAAATGCAGTCTGGACCGAAGATGGGAAAACTATAATCAACGCCCTTTTGCGAACCTTATTGTCTGTGTATGATCTAACAGCCCAGAGAGACTAATCGGCCAAATCTGCATTTCACTTCTTGCACTAGGATCAACTTGTCAATGTTTGACATATTTTGTCAAAAACCCTATTGTGTAGTTTCCCGTTTCTCAAATACTAATTGTGATGTTATGCGCCTTTTCTACCTTTCCACGCGTGCCCAGAGGCCTCTGAAACAAAACTCTGCCGCGGGTTTGACGCTAGGAACCCCCGTCGCTGAATGGCAGCACCAACAAGCTGTACAGGGCAGACTGTCCCAGGTTACCCCCGGTGTCCCAAATTACCCCCGTTGACGGTAGAAGTTCGAAAAATTACCAGCCCATCCCCGTTAATTATTCTTCCCGGAACTCCCAGTCTTATGCACCAGATGGGTAAGAACACTGAAAATAGAAAGGTCAGACTTTTGACCCCTTTAACGGTCTAACTGAAATGTACGACTGAAAAAGGGTCATACTAAAATAAGACTGTAAAAAGGTCATACTTCGATGTATGACCAAAAAACGGTCATACTTTATTGTGTATCACAGGTAAAGGCTGATCTATCCCCAAGCTATACAATAGCCAGTCTCGCTGATGTGTGACCTCTTTTGGTCAAACATTTAAGTATGACCCTTTTTCGGTCATACTTTTTGTATCACCGAAAATCGGTCACATGTCTCACCCGTCGAATTTCAGTGAAAGAAATATGCTTAGGGGTTTGCCGGGATTCTTAACACTACTGTGTCGACTCAGTGAATGTTTCGCATACCAAGAAGGACCAAAAATACGGCAGCCGAGCACGATGTTAGGCTGAATTCTTTACAGCCAGTAAGCTAAGTTCAACAAGCAAGAATGCCTTTTTCTCCTAGTTTACAAAAATTCAAATTTTCTTGTCACGCTCACTGGCCGAATTCTCAACCAATAAAAGTTACTCCCTGCTACAAACAACCGCTGACAACGATCCAGAAATACAAAAACGCGGAAAAAATCTTGTGGGGGCCACATTGGCACAAAGTGATTCTAAATTGTGTCCTGTTGCTAGAAAAGTATTTCAGTACGGTTGCGGCGGTTGAGGCACCATTTGTGGGTCAGGAACAAGTTACTTACTAAATTTTGAGTCAAAGGATGTTTGAACTTCTTTATTCGGCTTCTGGGAAAGGCACAAACAGTGTATTCCGTCCTATATTCTTATCATGAGAGCTTCATTTCAGCAATGTTTACTGTAAAGGAAAATGACTCTCGGAGAGGTTAAAAAATTGCCGGGGCGTTGGGCGTGCGAGCAACACATAAACAGGCGTCAAGGTTAATGTGCTTTGTCGCCGGCTTCCTTTGTCATCCAGGAACCCAAAAATATAAGGCATGGTTATCTTAAAATAGATCACTGAAAATCTACCGGCGTGACTTCGTGCCGCTGCAGAGGCGTGAATAAAGTGTCAGGCCATTAAACGGCATGACACAAAAGTCACGTCAAAAATCGGCGTGACTCAAAAATTCACGCCAATTTTTGGCGTGAATTTCTTGTCATGCCGCTTTTTGGCGGCCTTGCCTCAGAAAACGCGTTGTCAATCACGCCAAATGAGGGCGTGACTCACATGTCACGCCGTTTTTCGGCGTGAATTTCGTGTCACGCCAATTTTTGGCGTGACTTTTTGTCACACCATAATTTGGCCATGTGTCCGACCATTACGTTTCCAGTGATTGTTGTCAGTCGATTTTTTTTTCGTACCGGTAGAGCGCAATTTATGATTTTGTTACCATGGAGGGAAAAATCTCATTCAACGAACGTTAATGAAAGCAGATGGTATTCGTTTGGTTTTCCTCTAGAATGGGCCTTCCAATAAAAGTTTTCAAAACTGTGTGTGATCAAATCCCGAGGGGCAAACAACTTCGTCAAAATTTGTACACCGTTACTTCAAATTCATGTTATTTCACGTTATTTCACAGTTGTTTCAAGGCACCACGCCTAATTTCCCGTAAACCGAGTCCAATTCCCTTAAGGGGGCACACCAGTGAAAATGTAGAGGTTTTGAAAAACGATCATTCTGAGAAAAGTAACCTATGTACTTGATTGATATTTTTTTCGTGGCTCAAAATTATATCAAAGAAAAAAAAAACAGTATGGGAGGGTGGGGTGGCGATGGCAAGACGGAGCGCCAGTGCACTTCAGTTTTCTGCGACCTTGTCTCACTCCTGCCACGATTCCGCCTCTCTGGATTGAGCCTCGAGCACGGGATTTGAAAATTTCTCAACAGGACACATGTGGCTATGGTCTGAACCACGGGCATGCAAAAAGAATGATTTTGAATTTGTTTTTTCATAAGGCAAAAATAGAAACAAATTTTTTAACCTAATTTTTTGCGCTTTCATGGCAGCAGCTCACGTCCTATTTATGGGATGGCCATATCCGAGGTTCAGACCATAGACGCAAGTTTAACGAACATTTTGCCGCAAACCACATTAATTTATCTCAACTTTTGCGCCCGTGAGAGTGGCACAAAGGTACAAAAAAGGTGTTTTGAGAAAAAGCCCTTTTAGTAGAAACATAGATTTGACGTGTTTTTTCGGATTATAAATGCGCCTTTTGAAGTATTTAAGTTCGTTTTGCGCCAAAATGACCCTCTTTTTAACTGCGTTTGGGTGGTTCAAGGGCTTTGTAATTAAACTTTAAGTGAAAGACCTGAACGTTCACAATTGGTCTAAAATATCCAAAAATAATAACCCTTTTAGCAACTTCAAAAATGTGCACAAGCCAAAGTAATTGGAATTTTGGGGTGGGGTTTGCGGCATTCGACTCGGGATGAATAGCAGAAAAATAAGATAAAATAAAAAAGAAGGCAAAAATTTGACGATTTTCACTGGTGTGCCCCCTTAATTTTGGCGGTCGTCTGCCTGGGCACCATCCCCGGGTTCAAAATTGATTCTTGCAGAAAGTGACTTTTCTAGTAAAAATACTGTTTACAGGTTTACGGGCGCAATTGATGACATATTCGAATTTGGCTAGCGCCCGAATATTCCCTTTCCCAGGTTCGTTTGGGTGGTTGAAGGGTTTTGTCATCAAACTTTAAGTGAGACACCTTACCGTGATCAATTGGGGGAAAAAATGCAAAAAATAGATACTTTTGAGTGACAGCTAAGCCTATCCCGTGAATGGTGGGAAAATGTGGGAAAAAATCACAGTAAATCCTGTGGTGATTAGTACAGCTGTCACTGTAGTTCAGAGTACAGGATTTACTGTACTTTTTAACAGGATCTACTGTACTTTGTACGGGATTTACTGTACGACAGGAGTAGAGTACGGAATATCCTGTTCCAGGTACAGTAGATACTGTAGCCAGGCACGGTAAATCCTGTGTTCTGAACTACAGTAAATCCCGGCTAAAAAATTAACGGGATTCACTGTGGTTTTTTCGCACAGTGGAGTCTGTCTCTTTGTCTGTCTTTCTGTCGGTTGCGTTCCAATTTTTTGGGAAAGCACTGAAGAGATAAGGCCCAAACTTTGCACACGCACTCTAGAAATACACGAGATAAAAATGATGGGGCGGTTTTGCGATTCCTTGCGTTTAAAAAAGTTGGCAGACAAAAATTTTCGCAGCTGCACTGTTAGAAGAGGGTTCGACTTTCGAACCCACCTTGGCTCGAAATACGGGTAGGATCGAACCCATCTCGGTTCGAAAATCGGACTGGGTGGCCGATACATCCAGGGTTCGATATTTTGTCAAGATGAGGGTTCGATTTTCGGCTCTGTAGAGTTCGATTTTTGACTTCGTAGGGTTTGAGCTTCGCCGAGTGAAGTGAATTTTCGAACTTCACCAAATTGACATTTCCTCACAGATTTAGATTTGTCTGGAGAAGACAAACAAAAAATGTCAAGACATGTCATGGGTTAAAATAGAAAATAGAAGAGTTATTGGATTTTTAAAGTTCAAAAATGGTCAAAAAGACATTAGAAATTGAATAACTCTTTCATTTTCCATTTTAACCCATGATATGTGCTGACATTTTTTTTTGTCTACTTGAGACGAATCTAACTCTGTAAGGGTGATGTGTGTTCGATCAAGTTTGCAAATTGACTTCAGGCGCTGCCCTGCAAAAGCCCGCAGAGCCGAAAGCCGGCGAAGCGGTCGGAAATCGAACCCCACGTCCGAAAATTGAACCCCCGTGGGTTCGATTCTACTTAAGCCCGATTTTCGAGCCGGGCGAGAATTGGGACCGCCTTTCCACGGTTCGAAAATCGAACCCTCTTCTAACAGTGTGTGCCGCAGAAAATACATTCTGTTGGTAGCCCTGCTTTCGGCTCTCGCACATCAGACGACACTGCTGCCGCTGTAGTTTACGCCTCAGTTTGAGTTAGAAACTCAGTTAAACTAAATTGAGTTTTTGGCTGAGCGATAGCGAAGCCTGTTACTCCAGTGCGGTTGAAAAGTTTTGTCTGTCTGTCTGTCTGTCTGTGTGTGTACACTACTCCTCCTGAACGGCTCAGCCGATCTGGCTGAGATTTCGCAGGGTTATTAGGTATGTTCTTGGCTCGGCACACGCGAAATTTCACCATCCTAGCTCAAGTGGTTCAGTTTTTATAGCCGAAAAACACCTAAAAAACGGCGAAAAATCGAGTTTTCTGTCGGTAGACCTCTCCTGTCTGGATGAAAGGGGGGTCTGGGGGCGGAGCCCCCCAGCCACGACAAGTTGAAAAGTTACAAGGGTCAAGATCGTGTAATTTGGAGATGAAGCACCTCTATCTAGAATGAAGGGGGTCTGAGGCCCCCCAGCATGCAACAGTTCTGAAGTAACTGATGATGGACAAGCATTGTCTGCCGAAGGCAGGCTAGCGCCGCAGGCCAAGGTAGGTACGCCAGGCGCGGATTGGAGAAACAGGCCGCGAGACATCGCGAAGCCTGTTACGACAAGACGCTGTCTGGCGTAAACCTACCTTGTACATTGCTTCTGGTAGTTTTCGATGTGATGATTATGAATATGACACCCACTTTGCTCTCAAACGTATATTTAATCCAAAAGCAATTTCAGATAAAAATTCGATGTTGAGTTTGTTATTGATACCAGAAGATAGTCCACACTACTCCCAATAGCGCAACCTTGCCGAATGGGAACACTAAAAAATCAATTTTCGTCCTTACATGATTTAAGTTTCAATCCAAATTTTGAGGGCTGCTAGGCTACAGTAAGGACTATAACATATCAACAAGGTAGGTTTACGCCAGACCGCGTCTTGTCGTAACAGGCTTCGCGATGTCTCGCTGCCTGTTTCTCCAATCCGCGCCTGGCGTACCTACCTTGGCCTGCGGCGCTAGCCTGCCTTCGGCAGGCATTGGCTTGTCCATCGTCTGTTCTTACTTGTTGCATACTGGGACCCCTTGCATTCTAGATAGAGTTGCTTCATCTTCAGATAACACGATCTTGACCCTTGTAACCTTTAAACTTGTCGAGGCTGGGGGGCTCCGCCCCCAGACCCCCTTTCTTCAAGACAGAAGTGGTCTGCCTGCAAAGAAACTCAATTTTTCGTCGTTTTTTAGGTGTTTTTTGGCCATAAAAACTGAACCGCGTGAGCTCGGATAGTGAAATTTCGCGTATGCCGAGCCAAGAACATACTTAACAAGCCTGCAAAATCTCAGCCAGATCGGCCAAGCCGTTCAGGAGGAGTAGTGCACACACACAGACAGACAGACACACAGACAGACAAAACTTTGACTTTGACTTTGTTCAATTTTCGTCTTATTTGAAAGGTTTACTCAAACTGTTACATTAAGATGAAAGTCTAACGCAATAGCTGTCAAATGAGCCCAGAATGAAATCTGCATCGCTTCTTGTTTAAAGAAACTGCAGCGTTTTCAAAAAAGATCTGCAACGAAAATGAAAAATTTTAAAAACACATGCCGGAATTCTTTCGAAGATCGGTATTTTGTCTCAAAATTGGTCGGGGGGGGGGGTGTCAAAGCTTAGCTAACGAGCTCACAAGGTTTCATCGAAATAGGAGCGCTTGCTTGCAAAAGTATGTCGAACCACTATGGTATGACCCATAGACGTTTTGTTTTAAGGGCCCATACATCATGTTCCTGCGCTCGATGACATCGTGTCCCTCGGACGGCACAGTCGACTTGCACGTGCGTGTTACGCATTTCAAGCCCTCTAGACCTTTCGACCTGCAGATCCTTACAGCTAATTTGTCCCTGAAAATGGACGTTGAAGACAATTTTTGGGTAAATATTGTCACAGTACTGAAAAAACATTTTGACGCTAAAGCACATGATATTACAAAGAGTTATTGTCCAATCACAAAACTTTGTATACTTAAATAGTGAATTGATTTTAGATCTGTCGAACAGTATGACCATATTGGATCGACATGCAATAAACATTCTCTTAAAGATCACTTTTTAGTGTTTTTAAGCTTTGGCTGAATTGTGTAAAGTTTCGCCCTGGCAACAATTTTCGTCCGATCACAAAGTTATGTAAACAAAAGAATAGCATTTCGTAAGCCCTTTCTATTAATATAAGTACACGAGACCTTTGAGCTAAAAATATACCATTAAATCCAAATTTTTAGTGTTTTGGGACTTCGTTTTAGCGTTAAAACAAGTGCCCGGGCTTAACCAAAGATGTTGAGCATCCAGACTTTGCAGGGACATAAAGGGCCATATTCCGCACCCATCACGAGACAGCCGCATCCTAGGCGATCGCTGGTTCCGTCCCTGTAGGACCAAAAGTGCCATTTAACAATATTAGACCCCAGTTTGGAGCCTCCAAAGAGATGGAAGGTGTCGTCACTAGACACTGGCATTATGGGATCTCTTTTCTTATATAGTCAACTCCAAAGAAAACCACACGCCGTTTAATTCTGAGATTTTCGACCGACCCTATTCCTCACATTACGCCAAACACGACAAAATTGATGTAATGTCGGCACTTCCCAAAGTACATCCCCGAAAAGTTTAACGGAAAGAATTGGGATTTGGAACCAGATTACGGCTGATCCTAGCTTTATGCAGGTTTAGCCCAAAGTAAAGACTTAAGACTTGCTTAAAGTTCTTCATGATTGGTCTGTTGGTTCTGATACTCATGGTTCATTTATTATTATTATTATTATTATTATTATTATTATTATTATTATTATTATTATTATTAGAGATGATGTCAGCAGGTATACAGTCCCACCAGGTATAATCCCACCAGGTATAATTCTCAACAGATATACACTATTTTTTTTTTTTTTCTATACGCGGATTCCCAGCAAGTATAAATCCCACCAGATATACAGGTATTAATATTAGATTTTTGTGAGTGTCATCAAGTATAATTCCCACCAGGTATACATCCCAATAGGTATAATTCTCACTAGGAATACATTATAAGAAAAACAACACGGCAAAAACGGTTCCTGGTTTTCTCAGGAACCCCCTGGAAATCGCCTATGTATTCGCCATAGGGCTCCTGAGAAAACCAGTTACCGTTTTTACCGTGAACGAAATGATTGATTACAAATTGGCAAGATGACACACTCCCGATGAAACTGCCTTCGCTAGGGGGTGCGCAACTCGCGTTTCAATCGTTATTCAAGTTGCGCTTCTGTGGTATACAGAGGCAGGGGCAACACTAGATTCGTCTAATGTCTGTCTGTTTGCAGACGTCTACTAGAGGAAAACGAATAAAGGTCCAATAGACGTTGCGAATTCGGCCATTAGATGCGAAGAAAATCTACCTGGGACTTTAGAAACCGAGAGGCACTGTTCAACTGGCGTGCCGTGCAAATTAATTCCAGAGGTAAATAAAATGGGTGTATATCTGCTGGGATTTATACTTGTTGGGAATCCGTGTAAATAACATTAAAATTTAATATTGTATATCTGGTGGGAATTGTACCTGGTGGGAATTATACCTGTTGGGACTATACCTGTTGGGATTATACCTGGTGGGACTGTATACCTGCTGGGGTAACCCCTATTATTTATTATTATATTATTATTATTATTATTATTATTATTATTATTTTTTTGTTGGGGGGGGGGGGGAAGTAGCCCACCTCAGAGGCAAGTGGGTACGGCAGTTTTGTGCTTTTCTTCCCCTTGCCTTGTAAATGCCCCATGACCTGTTCGTTGTGAGTCTTCTCCCATGATATGTGTTGAAATTTTGAGTCTGTCTCGCCAAATAAATCTTTTTCCGTGATCAATCCATACTCATCGCACCTCAAGTTTTGTACAGGGCGTTATTTTCTCCCTTATTGCCTCTGCTAATCTTTCCCTGCCATCCTCTTAAGGGGGCACACCAGTGAAAATGTAGAGGTTTTGAAAAACGATCACTCTGAGAAAAGTAACCTATGTACTTGATTGATATTTTATTTGTGGCTCAAAATTATATCAAAGAAAAGAAAAATCAGTATGGGAGGTCGGGGCGGCGATGGCAAGACGGAGCGCCAGTGCACTTCAGTTTTCTGCGACCTCGTCTCACTCCTGCCACGATTCCGCCTCTCTGGATTGAGCCTCGAGCACGGGATTTGAAAATTTCTCAACAGGACACATGTGGCTATGGTCTGAACCACGGGCATGCAAAAAGAATGATTTTGAATTTGTTTTTTCAAAAGGCAAAAATAAAAAGAAATTTTTTAACCAATTTTTTCGCGTTTTCATGGCTGCAGCTCACGTCCTATTTATGGGATGGCCGTTTCCGAGGTTCAGACCATAGACGCAAGTTTAACGAACATTTTGCCGCAAACCGCATTAATTTATCTCAATTTTTGCGCCCGTGAGAGTGGCACAAAGGTACAAAAAGGGTGTTTTGAGAAAAAGCCCTTTTAGTGGAAACATAGATTTGACGGTTTTTTTCGGATTATAAATGCGCTATTTGACGTATTTAAGTTCGATTTGCGCCAAAATGACCCTCTTTTTAACTGCGTTTGGGTGGTTCAAGGATTTTGTAATTATACTTCAAGTGAAAAAGCTGAACGTTCACAATTGGTCCAAAATATCCAGGAATAATAACCTTTTTAACAACTTCAAAAATGTGCACAAGCCAAACTAATGGGAATTTTGGGGTGGGGTTTGCGGCATTCGACTCGGGATGAATAGCAGAAAAATAAGATAAAATAAAAAAGAAGGCAAAAATTTGATGATTTTCTCTGGTGTGCCCCCTTAATGTTCTGATCGCTGTTGCATTGCATGCCGCTTGGCAAAAAAGGCCAATGTCCCATGGTAGCCCTGTTACATGGTGCCCCATCCACGGGGGACTGGAGTGTGAAAAGCAACAAGTATCTTATTTGCACTCGAGGCAGCACCTAGAATGTCATAGCCACAAGCAGGTAGCGGCGCAATCTGACTCGCCGCCGGACTGCGGTGCAGTGCACTGGACTCGGCGCGGCAAGGCGCAAAGTGGTAGGCGGTGGGACGAAACGCGAAAAAAAGTGGTAGTTCCTTGGAACTTTTGCACATTGGGAAGAAAGTTGTGGGCTGCCAAGAACACTAATTGGTTTGGCAATATGACACGCAGGTGAGCTCGCACGGAGCTCTGGCACATATTCAGATTTTCGTGCATCCATTGCAATGGGTAAATATTATTCCTTCAGTCGTCGGTCGCATTCTTCGAGATAAAGATGTTATGTTCTATGTTTTTAAAATGCTGGTGACCTGGGAAATTGGGCGCTTACCTTTGATGTTCTATTGTGTCAATGGGTTAAATGTTACACGTTCTTAAAAGTATTGCACTAGTAACGATTTGTCAATTTTAAGGGAACAAAGTAGAGTTGCGAAAATTTGCAAACCATTCCGCCTCTTTTTGCTGATGAAGTAGCCGCCCCCTTTCCGGCCGATATCGTCAATCACCGTCCATCGCCGCCCCTTCGCAGAAGGGTGTCAAATGTGCCTCGCAAACTAGCTTTGATGCAGCATTTTTTCGGCGTTCGCGCGCCTCCAGGGCCCAGGCCCATAGCACACTACCCAATGCTGCCTTGACTTGCGCTCACTTCGATTTAAATGGTTCGCAAAGAAGGTTGCCAAAGGCTTGCTGGCGGCGCGCAGGACGTGGTTGGTGAGATCACAACGAGGGGTCCTTTTTAAAAGATTTTATCTGAACGTTTCCTCCAAGTTAATCTTATCTTAAACGCCAGCGAATATAACTTCATGTGATCATTTGATACAGATATTAATCAGCGTAGTTTGTAATTTAATCATTTCACATCTAACACTGAAAGATCAAAGAAACCAATGGTGCATGTAGTCTTGCTTAGTAGCGCTCAGTCTTGAATCCGCCCCAATTGATCAAAATCGGTGAACTTCGCCTGCGTTTAAAGAAGCTCTTAGGGGGAACGCCCCGATGATATCTTTTGAATAGGAACCCTCGATAAGGCGTGGGTACTGGCGTAACATCGCAAGTTATTTTTCTGGATTTTGACAAAAATGAGTTTACCACCTTCGAATATCTCCGAGTTCCGAAAGTTCTGGGTTGGTGATTGTATCACTGAAATCCCTCTTTTTATCTGCAAAGCGATTTGCGTAACGTGTTTGCCCGTCAGCTTTACGGTGACATGGCCAAAAGAGCGAACAACCAGTGGAAAGAGAACGCCTTAAAGTGGAAGTTCCCCAACGTTGGATGCTCTGCGATTCGTGCTCAAGCCCCGGGCGTCTTTAGCCTCATCTCGAAGGCCACTGGGGCGTCTGCGGACAAGAATGAACGGTGCTTCATACCGAAGGTAATTACACTTGAATTCAACAAATGTGACGATATACCTTACCCTATAAGACGTGCATTTAGGTTTTTTTTTATTTAAAAAAACACATTAATGATAAGACGCATGATAAGGGTTAGTAACAGTTTTATTTGTTTAATACTCATAACTTTCTATTGCATTTAGAGAAATCTGTTAAGCTTAACGTCATTCATCAAGGAGGGACATCGCTCTTAAAGCAGTGGTTTCGGAGGAACGTCATATAATCAGGGCGTGCTAACTTATCATTCATTGAGATTTTGAGTGCCTTTATCTCGTCAACGACAAAAGGTAAAAAATTTATGCACAGGGTAACTTAAATTTAAAATTTGATTTTGAATTTAAGTTATTCTATGCACAACTCTTTTATTTCCAGCCGTTTACGAAATAAAATGTCAAAAATCGCAAATAAGTGTTAAGCAGGGATCCTTAAATTAACTCGACATTTAACTAACACTGCTTTCGTAACGTAACATAAGACAATGTTCGTTATAGGTTAAGGGTACGGACTTATGAAAGTACTTGCAAAAGTATATCCACACAAATTTGAGACATAAAAAAATAACTTACTCTTTTAAAAAGATGTTAGAAGTTAAGGGTACTAACTTTAACTCTTACGATAACGTTATGACGCCCTTATGAGGTAAGTTAAGGACCTCTGTGAAGGTGGCCTGACCCATCAATCCCGCCCAAGTCCGACCGTATGTTTTTGATTGTTTTTCGTTTGTTTAGGTTTGTTTAGCGTTTGTTTTGCTTCTGGATTGTATCCCGACCCGGATTTCAAGGACCCCCAAATCGCCGAAGAAGTTGGCCCGACCCACTTTAACCGTGAGTCCTAACTTAACGCCGGTTTGTTATTTCGACTCGAAATCGTTAGTTTACGTTTGTTTTGCCAAAAGTTTAGCTCTCGGAAGAGCCAGTTTGGTCATAGAAGCACGGTTCCTATACGTAAAAACAGTGGGTCGGGCCAGATACCCAACGTGTGGTTATCATCAGATGCGAAGTACCAAACCTTGAATTCAGGTTAAGAGCGATCTGTTTCGTTAAGTTTTGCCCTAAGATGTACAACTTTTACGTTGAAAGTGCATTTCTCCATTATTTAGAGTTCGTGGTTCGGGCCACGTTACCCAATTAAAGTTACAATCAAGCGCGGAGTGCCAAACCTTAATCTTAGGTTCAAGACGGTGAGTTTCGAAAAGTTTTGCCCTAAAATGAACTACTTTTACGTCCACAGTGATTTCGTTTTCAATTTCAAAATCGTGGGTTGGGCCAGGTTACCGACTTGTTGTTTTAATCACACGCAAAGTACCAAACCTGTTATTTAGGTTAAGAACGATCAGTTTCGATAAATTTTCCCCTCAGATGAAAAAAATTTACGTCTACGGTGATTCTTTTTTTTATTTCAAGGTCGTGGGTTGGGCCAGGTTACTAACTTGTAGTTATAATCACACGCGATGTACCAATCATGTAATTTCGGTTAATAACGATCTGTTTCTTTAAGTTTTGAACAAAGATGTACAGCTTTCACGTTGAAAGTGCATTTATCCTCTATTTAGAATTCGTGGTTCGGGCCACGTTACCCAATTGAAGTTACAATAAAGCGCGGAGTGCCAAACCTAACATTGAGGCTGAGAACGATAAGTTTCGTTAAGTTTTCCCCTAAGATGCACAACTTTTACGACTACGGTGGATATTTTTTAAATTTCAAGGTCGTGGGTTAGGCCAGGTTACCAACTTGCAGTTGTTATCACACGCGAAGTACCAAACCATTAAGTTTTGTTAAGAGCGATAAGTTTCGATAGGTTTTGCCTAAAAATGAACTACTTTTACTTTCACAGTGATTTCTTTTTCAATTTCAAAATCGTGGGTTGGGCCAGGTTACCAACTTGTTGTTATAATCACACGCAAAGTACCAAACCTGTTATTTAGGTTAAGAACGATCAGTTTCGATAAGTTTTGCCCTCAAAGGCACAACTTAAACGTATACAGTGTCTTTTTTCTTTATGTCAAAATCGTGGGTGGGGCCAGGTTACCAACTTGTAGTTATAATCACACGCGAAGTACCAAACCCGTAATTTAGGTTAAGAACGATGAGTTTCGATAAGGTTGGCCCTAAAATGCTTAACTTTTTCCTCCACAGCGAGTTTGTTCTTTATTTCAAAATCGTGGGTGGGGCCAGGTTACCAACCTGTACTTTCAATCAATCGCGAAGTACCAAACCGTAAATTTAACATAAGAACGGTAAGTTTTGATAAGTTTTGCCCTGCGATGCACAACTTCTACGTCCACGGAGACTTCTTTTTACATTTCAAGGTCGTGGGTTAGGCCAGGTTACCAACTTGCAGTTGTTATCACACGCGAAGTACCAAACCTTTAAGTTTGGTCAAGAGCGATAAGTTACGATAGGTTTTGCCTAAAAATGAACTACTTTTACGTCCACAGTGAAATTTGTGAATTTTCGAAATCGTGGGTTGGGCCAGGTTACCAACTTGTTGTTATAATCAAACGCGAATTCGTAAACCTTACATTGAGGTTAAGCTCCATAAGTTTCGATAAGTTTTGCCCTGCGATGCACAACTTCTACGTCCACGGTGACTTCTATTTAAATTTCAAGGTCGTGGGTTAGGCCAGGTTACCAACTTGCATTTGTCTCACACGCAAAGTACCAAACCTTTAAGTTTGGTCAAGAGCGATAAGTTACGATAGGTTTTGCCTAAAAATGAACTACTTTTACGTCCACAGTGATTTCTTTTTCAATTTCAAAATCGTGGGTTGGGCCAGGTTACCAACTTGTTGTTATACTCACACGCAAAGTACCAAACCTGTTATTTAGGTTAAGAACGATCAGTTTCGATAAGTTTTGCCCTCAAAGGCACAACTTAAACGTATACAGTGTCTTTTTTCTTTATGTCAAAATCGTGGGTGGGGCCAGGTTACCAACTTGTGGTTATAATCACACGCGAAGTACCAAACCCGTAATTTAGGTTAAGAACGATGAGTTTCGATAAGTTTGGCCCTAAAATGCTTAACTTTTTCCTCCACAGCGAGTTTGTTCTTTATTTCAAAATCGTGGGTGGGGCCAGGTTACCAACCTGTACTTTCAATCAATCGCGAAGTACCAAACCGTAAATTTAACATAAGAACGGTAAGTTTTGATAAGTTTTGCCCTGCGATGCACAACTTCTACGTCCACGGTGACTTCTTTTTAAATTTCAAGGTCGTGGGTTGGGCCAGGTTACCAACTTGCAGTTGTTATCACACGCGAAGTACCAAACCTTTAAGTTTGGTCAAGAGCGATAAGTTTCGATAGGTTTTGCCTAAAAATGAACTACTTTTACGTCCACAGTGAAATTTGTGAATTTTCGAAATCGTGGGTTGGGCCAGGTTACCAACTTGTTGTTATAATCAAACGCGAATTCGTAAACCTTACATTGAGGTTAAGCTCCATAAGTTTCGATAAGTTTTGCCCTGCGATGCACAACTTCTACGTCCACGGTGACTTCTATTTAAATTTCAAGGTCGTGGGTTAGGCCAGGTTACCAACTTGCAGTTGTTATCACACGCGAAGTACCAAACCTTTAAGTTTGGTCAAGAGCGAGAGTTACGATAGGTTTTGCCTAAAAACGAACTACTTTTACGTCCACAGTGATTTCTTTTTCAATTTCAAAATCGTGGGTTGGGCCAGGTTACCAACTTGTTATACTCACACGCAAAGTACCAAACCTGTTATTTAGGTTAAGAACGATCAGTTTCGATAAGTTTTGCCCTCAAAGGCACAACTTAAACGTATACAGTGTCTTTTTTCTTTATGTCAAAATCGTGGGTGGGGCCAGGTTACCAACTTGTGGTTATAATCACACGCGAAGTACCAAACCCGTAATTTAGGTTAAGAACGATGAGTTTCGATAAGTTTGGCCCTAAAATGCTTAACTTTTTCCTACACAGCGAGTTTGTTCTTTATTTCAAAATCGTGGGTGGGGCCAGGTTACCAACCTGTACTTTCAATCAATCGCGAAGTACCAAACCGTAAATTTAACATAAGAACGGTAAGTTTTGATAAGTTTTGCCCTGCGATGCACAACTTCCACGTCCACGGTGACACTCCGTGCCCTGCTGTACTGACTGTTTTGATTTTGGTGCGCAATAACATCGAAAAGAAAGTATTATTGCTGTGGTAACAACTATCGTGTTTAGACGAGATGGATCCTGGGAGACCGCGCTCGCGCGGCATACAGGACATGAGCCCCGTCCTGTTTGAGCCCCGATGGTCTGAGCCCCGACCTGAGCCCCAACCTGAGCCCGGGTTGAGCCCCGACTTGAGCCCCGACCCCAAGTCCCAATTTCCAGAGCCCGGATTGAGCCCCGACCTGAGCCCCGTTTGAGCCCCACTTGAGCCCCATTTGAGCCCCGCGACCTGAAATCACGCATTTTTGCTTAATTTATTGCTATGGGGCTGAAGTGGGGCTCAAACGGGGCTCAGGTCGGGGCTCAATCCGGGCTCTGGAAATTGGGACTTGGGTCGGGGCTCAAGTCGGGGCTCAACCCGGGCTCAGGTTGGGGCTCAGGTCGGGTCTCAGATCATCGGGGCTCAAACGGGACGGGGCTCATGTCCTGTATGCCGCTCGCGCTCTGGCTCTCGTCCGAGACGCAGACTTATACCAAGCAAGCTGCGAGAACAGCAAGAAAAGGTATAGCCGAGCCGACGCCTGTTGCTTTGCTTTGTTAAACAGGTTATGTATCCCTGTAACTTAGAACGGTGTGCTTTTTTGTTGACAGATGCCCTTGGCGAAGTTAGCACAAAAATTGGCAAAACAACACGCAAGAGATCGGTCTGGTACCCCTGAAAGACCGTCCAGTGCTTCGAGGCGTAAAGTTTCTCTTGAACCGGCAGAAGTCTGTGAGGCACGGAGAAATTGGTCAGGCTTCAGAGTCATTGATCTGGATCTCTTTGTGACAGAGCTCCTTGAATGTGTTCGGTGCAAGAG